TCTTGCATACCGCGGCCTCTTTTTTCATTTGCAGCTTCTAACAGTTTCTGTCCTTCATTCTCAAACAACTGCAGAACTCCAAGCTCAGTTTGTCTTTTCTCCATACGCCTTTTTCCCTTTTTCCCCTTCTTCTGCTTTACCTTGTATATAGACACAAGTACCTGTATTGTTTTGATCACATCCGGGTTCAAAGTCCCCTCTACTGGCCAAGGCTGGTCAATGTCAGGCCAACGCTTACTCCATTTTTCTGATATTTTTGGAATATCTTTAACAAGAGGATTAGTCTTCTGTACTACATCAACAGGAGTGATTGATTTTGTAATTTTGGTGTCCATCTTTGACATTACAATGACCCTCTTAGTTCCTCGTATTGTAAGTCAAACTATTTAGAAAGTACTGTTACCACACTTTAAAGTGAATGAATTTGCCAACCCCAAAGGAGACCAAAGCCTTCTTACTATAAAAGCAAAAGCACTTCTTTATCACCTAATGCATCTAATCACACTTATTTATCTTAAAATTATGGAAATAATGTCAATGTTCCATCTCAAAATAGCCCAGGTCAAGCTAGACCATACTCAGACAATGAAACCAGCATTCACAGCACTCAACTGCATTTGAATCAAATCAACTTTTCCATAAATGATCAATCAAATCAAAAATACTCCATTATTGACCAAATGCTTCAATTAGTCAGTCTGTTGCCAAGACTTCCTCCTATATAATTGTAATGTGATACATAGAAGAAACAATGTAAGCCTCTATGCGAAAACAGACTAAGCATGTATCAAAGATGTTGACTATAAAAAATGTGTATACACAGATAGAAAAGTTCAGGTGTTTGTTGAAAGAGTTTGTGGATAAAACCGCACTGGCCTTGATCAAGCTGGATTCAGGATCCCTACATGCTGTCATCCGCAAGCTTCCAGTGTTTGTGAAATACTGCCAGATATCTCCTCATCTGCCTTTTGTACTGATCCAGTTCAGACACAATCCATCTGTCTGTCTTCCCTTTAGCTCTCACACAGCATAGTAGAGAGAAACAGAGAAAACAGAAAGAAAACAAAACAAAAGTTTAATCACTCTGAATCCATATAGACAATGCAATAACAATTCAGTAAAATATGCACACATTATCTGTAATCTTTATCTATATATTTTTTATCTATTGCAAAGGCTGTCTCCCTACTGGGGGTGTGTTTTCCTTCCCTCTGTGTCCCACAGAGAGAAGAAGGAGGAGAGGGGGCTACCTCTCCACTCCCCTTAACAGGAGGAGTAAGCTAATTGGCTTTCTATGTGAGGCAACGCCTCTTGGACCGCCTCCTAATTTTAGCAAGGGCTTCCAGTCTAACCTGGCTGTCAAAGGGTTAACATCGTCTCCAAACCCTATGGTCCAAACCTAGTGCATTTAATGCACAGACAGGCACATCTCACCCGTGGGTGCTGTGACACCCCTACTTTCACTAAAATGTACACTTTTTACTAGTGGAGTCATTAAAAGAAAACTTATCGATCAAGTAAGATTTATTAAGTGACAACTAAGCCAATCATATCTATTTGATTACAGTTGAAGCACAGTAAGGTTACATTTGCATTTAATCCTCCTGTCACTCATCACTGAGTCAGAGCTCAGAGCTCACACATGGAAACATGCTGCATGTAGCATCCTTCTGAAAGAGAGTAAGTCACCCAAACAGAGGTTTTTAAGATAAATCCACCTCACAAACAACGTAAGTGTAACATTTTCTCCTCTTGGTTGTTATTTTAGCTGTATGTATTTACTCCCATAACTTTACGATGTAGCAGAAGTCCCCTTTGCAGTTTTTCCTAAATAAAAGCACATTTTATGTGAAGACCGGAAATAAAGAGACTAAGGCGTAAGGCAATAAGAAAAGCAAAATAATGGCATCACAAAGAACCGTTTTGAATCTGGTTTCTAGAGCTGACTGGGTTACTCACAATGGATGTTCATAAAGTTAGTGTCTAATTATCTTTTGTAACTTTGTCTTGTTATATGATGTTTCAGCTAAACTTAGTTATTGGACATTAAATGAAACAGAATGTGTTGATTTCCTAGAGGGTGGTAATATACTAGCACAGAACACACACACTTTTAAGATCACTGCTCCACCCCTGTGCACAGAGTCTATGCACACACAGAAATCAGCACAGTATCCTCCCAATCAACAGCCAAATAGAAAATGTATTCTCTAATAGTCAAAACCAACTTCTTCACCTATTTTAAACAAACTATATGTTCTTTTGAACAGACAAAATTGCAGCATAATGTGGTCACACACATACGCTCAAACAGACAGAAAGAAAGTTCACACTCCAATCAGCCGGCAGTTCTAAACTTTATCAGGAATTTTTCTGTTCTTTTCTCAATCTTGCTACCTGAATGGGTACAGACTATCCTCGCTGGTCTCTCCACTTCTTAAAAACAGATACTATATACACTTATGCTATGTATAAACGTCCTTTATTAGGCTCATGTGTATTTATCAGATTAAACAAACATCCTCTGAGGGGCTCATATTTTATCCAATTGAATATATAAAGTCCCCTGAAACAAAGGGCTCATAGGTTTTTAACACTGATGAAGATCAGATAAGTAAAAGTCCTCTGAAACAAAGGCTCATATTTTTTATCACTGATGAAGCAAAAATGTCCCCTCTTATAAGTTACTAAATCGCCTTTTAACCAATCACCTGCTACATATGCCTATTTATTAATACATCTATTCTATTTGTCAATCACACATATACAAGAACATTTCCGGATCAAATACACATCTTCACACCACACAGACCTCTCAAAACCATCCAAATCACAACACAAGAGACAAGACACAGACATAGACAGAGCCCTTCAACAGCCATACACACTTCAGTTCAGATTTTGAAGTCGACTCATTTATAATTTTCCTCTATCAAATTTTACTTCTGTCAAACTTTTAACAAATTGTCTTTTAACAAATTACTTCACACTGCATGCTTCAATGCACACTTTTTCCTTTACTCAGCGCTTTTTTCCCACTTTTCTCAAAACTCTTATCTTTATTCCTTATCTTCACTTTTCATCTTTTTACTTCTCATCTTTACACTTCTCATCTTTATTTCTTCTCTTTTATTTTCCTACATTATACGTTTATCATCTATTCAAATACCCTGGCCAGGGATCCCCTTTTTTATTTTTACTCAAATTTGACTACTTCTTAAAGCCAACTTTCACTTCAGTGTCTAATTTACACATGACTTACTGTTAAGAGGATACGGGCCCTGTCCTTGTTAAACTTGCATGTTATTTAGCTAACTGGTCTCGTTACTAGTTGCGCTTATGCTATCATTACCTTTCAACTTTATTCATCTCTTCTTCTCTTATTTATCTCTTCTTTATTTTATTCCCTTTATTTATATACTTTTTAACTCAATAAACCCCAATTTAGACGGAGAATTACTCCAACATCAACACATCATTGCACTTCAGTTCTTTGACAGTGCGGCCAAAATTGCCGATAGACGACAGAAACAGCTCCGCAATATGTGCAGCAAAAAAAGAAAGAAACACTTACGAAGTGATGGAAATAATAAACAAGCTGTGGTCCCCTGCAGAAGGCCCCAACTGATCCTGTTCGTGACGCCAAAATTGATGTGGATTTCCTTGTTGTTGATATGTTTGATGATGAAGAAATTCGCCGTTGAGACTGACTTGCTTTCAGAGAGTATAATTTTATTTAAGCAAGAAACAGAATCACTGGTCACGTCTGACCAGGAGGATCAAGAAGCCAATAATGATCTCTCTCGAACACACAGAGACAATTGCTTATATGCATCCAAACATCCGCTTTTCGTCATGGGTCATAAAACATCACGTTACACAACCACATGTGGCACTACTCCTATACAATACCTCAATTTAAACATTCCACCTAAGGGGACTCCTAAATCTCCTTCAGATACTATCACAAGACGCACCCGTTGTAAACTTATATTATCCCTGTCCTAGTTACATCAGACACTTCACATGCCTTATTATGTTTCCCCAAATGTTGTCTGTTGGTTGTTTCCTCAGGGTGAGATGCAAATGCTTCACCTGCCCTTCCTCTGTGGACACTGGATTTTGTAGCCCACTCTGTAGGCTTGCAGGTACACACGTGCCTGGTTTATTCTGGAAGCAGACAAAGCATTGTCATAAATGATTATACTCAGATGTAACTCTTCAGTTTCACCTCTTGGGATCTATCTCATTTATATATCATGATTCTCATATTGAACACCTTATATTTGCTTTGTACATAGGGTTTCAAATTGAGCTTGAACTACTTTTTACAAATACTTTCATAGTATATTTTATTCATGTCAATATGCCTTATATTTCAGTAAATTCATGTGAAGAAGAAAGTGAGATGTAGGAAGGTTCTCAGCAAGTCCTCGGAAGTCCATTGAACTTTGTAGGAAACAGCTCTGCAATAAATCAACACCAATCTGTTTCTTCAAAAAGATGAAACAAACATAATTAAGTATAATCCAGATTAAGGGGACGAAATAAGGAAACATGTTACCTGTATTTAGTGCAAAGCTGAACTCCAAGGGGTCCACACCGGTCAACATAACTTTCCCTAAAGGCCTTTCTCACTGCCCGAGCCATGCTGACCACAGTGGTGACCACAGGGCATGTCCTAGGAAAGACACAAACACTCAAATCCATGAAGAAAAGCTACAGTGTTCTGAAGACATTACACATGTGTATATGTGGGTAATCAAGGCAGATAGTGGAAAACCTGCTGATCGATTCTTATTGATTCTCAGCGTTTAAGTCTTTTGAGTGTTCATACTCACAGTTTCTCACAGCGCAGGCCTGCTGTGCCCTCAGGACAGGAACAGGTGTTGTGAGGACTGCAGGTAGCCCCATGTTGGCAGGGTGGTATACAGGGGGTGGTCACAGCTGTAGACGTAGCACACAGCATGACTCTTAATGTAAAGGCTAATAAAGGTCTTAAATACTCACACCCACACAAACACAAACACAAATACTAACCTGTTTCACATAAGTCTCCAGTAAATCCTTTGGCACATTGGCACCTGTTGAGGCCCACACAAACTCCACCATTCTTACAAGGTTTGTGACACACAACAGGCTCTGTTGGAGACATAAAAAAATAAAATTTTGACCCCTGGCAGCTGAAGGCCCCCTTTTAACTGATCAATTGAATCCATCTTTTTTTTTTTGCAGAATGAAAGTGTAACAGGCCTTTTTAGGGGCATATTATCCTATCCTTTGATGTCATATTTACAAGAATGGTAGAGAAAGAGGACATATTCATTGACACACAACCCTCATAGACATAGAGTCTCTCCAGGGGTTATTGCCCGCCTGAACGCTTGAAACTGGAATGAAAAACACACATTTAAACTGGGTCATCAGTATTTAATCTGGACTGCAGCTGGACTGTGCTTGGTTTGTATAGTAAACGGCCTGTTGAGCAAGAGTTCAACAATTCTCTTTGATCAAAGATTATTTAAAATCTCCATTCTAAAGCCTCAATATGTATTTTTTGGTAATTACTGCTTCATACATTAATTCCAATCTGATAATCTCTAGAAGCCTTCAGATTAAGTTTGACAAACAATAAATGTTACAGATTAACTGGGCAGGAATTTCCTCCTCTGAGACTGTTTCAGCTTCAGGGTTATAGAGGACATGAAGAAAAACAAGTAAGTATCTGAAGTATTCCCCACAGGAGAAATAAGAGTATAATAAAAATGTGTAAATGTTTGATAGAACTTGTTTTTTGGATTGGATTTACTGCCATAAAATGGACATTGTGTTTATGGTGTACAGTTTTTATTTTCACGTGATTATGGGTCAATGAGGGTCCATTTGGATGTTTACTGTAAAGGTTGTTTCCAAAAGGGAAACTGCTGTCAGAAGCCAATAATAATACTTACCTCTCAAAGGTTAATACACGGAACATACATGCCATTGTCATCTTTCACTCATAACATGCATAAAATATACAAGAAGCAGGAATAAGTGAGTATGCAGCATCAAAAGTAGGAAACAACCAAAATCCGGCTTTGTTTAAAAAGCCTCAAAGCTCATGAAATAAAAGAACAAATGTAGCGCCAAGTTTCTTCTCTAAAGCATCTGTCCTTATCATCGCTGCAACACCTGTTGGTTTGCCATTCGCCAGGCAAACTGAGGGACGAGGGGCAATACTGCCGTGTAGGGGTGCCGTCTACCTATCTGGTCAAAACAAAATCTAACCATTCCGCACCTTCGTGGAAACTTAGGACATGCTGGCTGCTTCGTTGTTGCCAGAGAAGCCAGCACTTTCCTTTCAGTCTATTCTTATTATTTAATTCACTAAATATCTAACATATTAGACCTCTAAAATGTGAGTTTATCGTAACTCCTGTATGTAAAAAGGATTTTTTTTATTTCAGTATCTATAGCTAGCTATGAATGCAGTGGGTGTAATCTTACCTCTCTGACACCGAGCGCCTTGCCATCCACCAATACATATGCATTGGTTGACATCTACACATCTTCCCCCGTTCAGACAGGCAGGAGTGCACAGGGCTGCAAAAACAACCAGATAGAAGTCATTCTCTGCAGGAACATGGGAGTAAACTAAACAGCATAATCTTAGTTCTTCCTTTTTGTTTATCTATAAACTTTCAGTACAACCTAATTCTTACCAGGCACTACTCGGGGGGGGGGGGGGGGAGGGGTAGAAATGATTAGCTACCAGCCTACCACACAGAAGTCTCTGCATGTCTGGTGTAACTATGCCAGATGTATTGGTGGTTTGTGTCACTCACGTAAGAGGCATTGGGGGCCGGTGTAATCAGAGGGACACTGGCAGGTATTGGGCCCCACACAGCGCCCACCGTTAGCACAGGGCAGCTCACACATCGCTGAGCAAGACACACACAGAAATAGACAAATAACAAATGATAGGAAAAGATGTATCAACCATACTTTTTTTTGATCAATATAAAAAAAAAAAAAATATATATATATATATATATATATATATATATATATCCTCTTGTGTATAGACACAGTCTCTTCAGTGTGTGATGGTACAGAAGTGGGGCATTTTACAGGGACATCCTGGTCAGAGGTGACATACCTGTGTGGCAGCCAGCACTGGTCCAACCAGGAGGACACAGGCACTCGTTCCAGCGCATACAGGTGCCTCCATGAGCACAGGGCGGGGAGCACATGGCTAAAAACACACAACCAGCATGGTTTAGTACAACCATGTTTCACAGCAATGTTACATTTTTTCATTTACAGAACTAAATAGGCATACAATCAGCACTTACTTTTAAGTAAATCCATTCCCAATCTTTCACAAGGATATGAATTGTTACCAATGATTTTTGCCAACAACATAACAGACAAATGAAATCTGCTGGGCTTTAGAAAGACCTTTTGCATGCAGTGGTCTTCTGCAACCAAATATTATATCTGCAGTAAACACAGCTGTGTAAAAAATACATGAAATGCAATTATTTTGAATATCATACCTTAACCAGTAATGCATTATAGATTGGACCATGTTTTTTTTAATCAGTTTAATCAATTTTGTTTGGTTTATTTTGGGGGGTTTTCAGGCCTATATAGAGTGGACAGGACAGTGGATAGAGTCAGAAACAGGGATGAGAGATTGATTGATGAGGGCCGAGGGTGGGAGAGGGTGAATTTTGGGCAGCTGCTTCAAGGGCCTCTGTAAACAGGACACTGGATATAACCAATGAGCTTTAGTGCATTGCAGCTTATAGGCTGAAGACATACAGAGTTATACGTTTCTAAACCATGGCTAATAGTATGTTTTGTCTCTCTTAGTGTTATGTCCTCAATCGAGTGATGATGGCACATTGTGACTATGTCAATTTTAGTTTTGGGACTAATGCTACCCTTACTGTATGATTTAGTTATTTAAGTATCCACTGAATGGCTAAAAGCTGTGAAATTAACACCTATACATATAATAAACATATACAGCATTCCATATTCTTACCTAAGCAGCCGAGTCCAGGGTAACCTGGAGGACAGTCACAGCTGTTTGGGGCCACACACACTCCATAGTTTTGACAGGGAGGCTCACACACAGCTGGAACGGCAGAGAGGTAAAAAGGGAACAAATCAAATTAATAGACTCTTAATAAAGTCCTTTTGCTTACATGCTTCATGATTGACTCGGACATGATTGACTCTGACATGTTTGACGTTTGACTCACGCTTGCACTTTGTGAGGTCGTCCGTTTGTACTTGATACCCTTCTCTGCAGGTGCAGTTGAATCCACCTGGGTGGTTCAAACAGAGCTGCTCACAGCCTCCGTTCGTAAAGTCCCCACACTCATTCACATCTTATAACCAAAAAAACAGAAGGATAGTTATGATTTTCAAAGGTTTTCATTTGTACATTTTAACAAACCCAAACAAACAAAATCCAGAGTCTATTCATTTTATTTTCCGGCTGATCGACCACCTGATACCGCTGATACGGAGTTGTCACAGCTAAAGCGCTCAGAATAATCAGCTGTCAGCAGACATTCAAACTCATATGGCATTTCATCGTATTAACACCGAGGCCTGGCAAATGTAAAATGTATTTAAAAAGTTTATTTCAGCTGTTTATACCTTTTCAGTTCCGCCCTGTTATTATCTAAAGGACCAGAGCAATAATTGTTGTATGTGCCTGATGAATGCTTATATGTTTACTTTAAGAAATGGCCAAGGCTAAACATTTTTGCAACATAATGCATACTTAAAATTAAAGAACCCCATCCAACTGGGCAGATGTGTACTAAAAATTAACATTCACATTTCATATCAAATAAAAGCTCATAGTGTCTTTAAAAATGTGATGATGCCAGTGTGAGGGATCTCACCAACGCAGCTCCGGTGGTCCCCGCCCAACTTCCAGCCTTTTCGACAGTTACACTGGACCTGTCCCTCTGCATTCACCGCACAAACATGGTCACAGCCACCATTTCTAAGATTGCAAGATGTTACATCTGTTCAGAACAAATAAAAAAGGAAAAGAAGGAATTATTTGCAAGTTTAATTTTTTAAAGGTTTTAACAATGAAGAGCAAAAAAGTACAAATCTGTGGAGAACTCAAAAATTCATCCTTTTTTAATGAAATTTGCGAAATTTGCTCATATTATTTAAATAACGAGGACAGGCATTTTTGTCTCTTTTATTACATTTCCTAGACAAAAATTGTCTGAGTTAATCAAAACGGTAGATGATGCTAATCTGATGAAAATAATCAATTATCGTCTGCCTATGAGCAGCTTAACTGTCAAATTGTTGGACATGTTTAAAAGATGACAAGTTGTATCTTTATCGAACAAAAACATTTTCTTAATGCTCCAATTTGTAGCCTTTTATAACAATTATATACATGGTAATACTGTCAAATGATTAAAGACAGAATTATATGGATAAACTTTGCTACTGTTTAACCCTTAAGCATTAACTGTTGTAAGATTGTATGATGGAACTTCTGTATGTTTTTCCACAGCATTGTGTGCTCTTTGTGGACCTGTTTATAATCTGTGACATCTGGACCTCAGTGTGAACCAAGACCTTAATATGAGAAGTATGGACACAGGAAAACAATAACACCATGGGAACAGTTTGACTTGTCTTGTGAAGTCTTCATATTCAAATTATAAACACGATTTGTTTTCCCCATGATATTCACAAAGCATTATAATATTTAAAACTGGAAAGTGTATATGTGACATACTGCTGCAGGAGAGGTTGTCTGTGTCGAGCAGCAGAGGAGGAGGGCAGTGGCAGGTGTGTCCTCCTGGAGAGTTGCTGCAGGTGTGAGAGCAACCGCCATTCTGGAGTTTACATTCATCAATGTCTGCACACACATGTAAAAAATGTTTGGGAAATCATTAACTCTGGTGTGCAACTGACAACAAACTGAGTCTGGCTTTCACTCACTCTACAAAATGTGCCTGAAAGACATCCTTTCATGGTTGGGCAGAAAAGATGCACACACAAAATGAGAGAGTGAGACAAAATATTCATGGCAGTTTTAGGCTATGCTGCATGCTGATAAATAAACAAGCTTAAATGATGTAAATGAGCAGGTACACATCATTGAGTGGTGAAGAGACAGAGTGATGTTGAGTGACTGACCAACACAGGTGTGACCATCAATGTGCAGCTGGTAGCCGGGCCTGCAGGAGCACTGAAACGATCCCTGAGTGTTGATGCAAATGTGCCCACAGGTCCCATTCTGCGCCAAGCACTCATCAACATCTGTGGGATCAGAGACATTACTTAAAATAATGGCAAAACCGGACTCTCTGTAAAGGCTCGTTTTGACTTAAATCAGTCTCTGTTCCCCAGTCGTTCTATCACTTGCTTCAACATATCAATGAGAACATGTCAAAAGAGTAACCTCTTAAAGCTGGTCACACAATTATGGGGAAAATCTTTGGCTTTGGCACCCCCAAGTGGTACTATGAAAATAAATATTGTGGTACTCAACAATGCACATTAATGGACTTAAGTTTTCTAATAACAAAAAGCAACATGTGCCACTACAAATATATGAAGAAAATATGCTTAAAGAAGTCACTCATCAACAGGGAACATTCGTTAGTACTCTACTATTTGCTGAGAGTTGATTGAAATAGACTGCTATGTTAGTGCCTGCAGCCTAACAGTGAAAGCTGTCTTTAGCCAAGCGAAGCAAAACTATTTGTTTTTTCTTTTTACAATGGCAGCCTAGCTGTTTTTCCCTGAGTCCAACCACTTTTGCTAGGCTTAGCCTAGGTAAGCAAACTGTTTAAGGATTCTAGCTGGATATTCAGTTTGTCTGGGGCAGATGGGCTACTCATCAAACACTCCCTGCTATTTGTTTTAAAGAAATACTTAAAGCCCAGGCTTTGACCTGCTTGAAGCTTTTTAATGTTAATAATTACAACAGAAGTAGAATTATTAAGAGGCCAACAGGGTATCCCGGGCATGGCCTGGACGTTCTCAGGTGCCCATGGTTGCGGTAACATACCATTCGTTTCGCCCACAATAAAATACAGTAAAGTCATTTAAGCGTTGAGCAAGAATCAAGGATTAGCTCATGTTGGCACTAGCAGTATATTAATCAGCACCCTCCTCCCCAGTTTTTACCTGTGCAGTTGTGTCCATCCTGGCGGAGCTGGAAGCCTGAGCTACATTGGCAGCTGTACCCTCCCTGTTCATTGGAGCAGTGGTGTTCACAGTGGCCGTTGTTCACAGCACACTCATCTATGTCTGCAAATAGAGAAATCCCAAAGGAGCACTGTGTTGTGAGTGGAGAGTGCCCAAGTGCTTCTACTTGTTAGTACTGAACAAGTATTGCTGGCAGAGCCTCAGAGTCACTAAGTTCCATTAGAGGCACACACATTGGGAAATCACACACAAACACTGCTTACCCACCAAAACAAGAGTGTCCATCGCCGTTATAGCCATGGTAGCATTGACAGAAATACGAGCCAATGATGTTGCCACATCGAGCATTTGTGTCACACCCGTGACCACCTGACGCACACTCGTTCTCGTCTGGAAACAAGAAAACTTTCAAACACTCATTTCATTTCCACTCAAAGAACACTGTTCTGCCCCTCTGGATCATTTGAATGGAATGCAGAACAGCAAGGCATTAAAACATGGGCACACAAGGAAGTTGACCCCATCTACCAGAAAAAGAGTTTTCCATTGAGGGACATCAGCACTAATTGCTTACCTTCGCAGTGTGTGCCGTTTCCCCGGTAACCCGGTCGACAAACACACTTGTAGCTCCCAAGCGTGTTCTCACATACACCTTGACCATCACACACAGCAGGACTCTCCACACATTCATCTACATCTGGGACAGAGACAGACGCCAGAAGAAGATTATTTTACCACAAGCAGAATGAAAAATGTTTTAATTACAATTCACTCTGACGTAATGCAATAAAACATTTTATTGCTTGTTAAAAGCAGTATTCTGCACCCAGTAATTTACTTCAAACATCAGAGTGACTAAATTATTTCCATGCCACCCACCACCAATCAGGTCTTTAATGGGCATTACACATTAGAATTTTGCAGTTGGAACACTCAAGTATGGGCAAGAAGATAACAATATATTACGAGAAACTCTTAGGAGGAACACCAAATCCAAATTGTGAATGTTGCATATGATTTGGTTGGTATACCTTAACAATCCAAACCCTCATCAAAGCAAGCAGCTCGTGTTAAACATGGAAGCCAACATACCTTGACACACGGTGTAGTCTGGACACACAGGACCTGAGACCACGAGTGCAGAAAAGTCACAGAAAAAACAAATGAAGATGTTAAAAAAAAGAGAGCAAACAGAAAAGAGCACAAGAGAGGGACTAAGTCCTCAAAGTAGAGATAGATGCCTGGAAACAAAACAAAGAGCAAGAGAGTAGGCAGTAAAGCAGCCGATTTAACTCCTGCAAAGCCTGTGTCCCTGTCAGCAGGAGTTAAATCTGGGCCAAATCAAGCAAAATATTAGAAACCCACAACACTGGATCAAATCTAGACATCAGTGTTATCCAGCTGTGAAGAAGCTTAAAGACAAATTTACCGACACAGGCGGGGGCCTCTGCTCTGAAGCCTGGCTGGCACTGACAAACAAAGCTGCCCGGAGTGTTCACACACACATTTCCCAGTTCACGACGACACTGCTCCTCGAAGCTGCACTCATCCACGTCTGCAGGAAGGGGAACCCAAAGATAGAAACTTTCTTTTACAGCCACAAATAAATAATACAGTGCATCAGGGTCACAAACATGATCACAATTCAAAAACGTAATCAACTTAAAGTGGTTTTGAGGTGTCCAAAATATGTCATAAAATGTTTATTTATCACATTGCTGCTTTACATTTGGTTCATAATTTGTCTGTATAAAGTGTAATATGTTGTTTTAGACCCCAATAAGATACTTCTATCCTGTCAACAAGTCCTCGGGAACGATGTGTAACCCCAAACTTCTAGCTCAGCCCAGGTGCTGAAGACATGCTTGTTAAAATGCCTCTGAACAAAAACTATTTCATTGTATATGGACAGAAACACACAAACCTGATGTCAACATCAGCCTCACCTACACAGCTTCTTCCATTAAGTGCCATTACATATCCATGACGACAGGAGCATGTGAAGGAACCAGGGGTGTTTGTGCACTCTGCATCCCCTTGACAGGCCTGCAGGCCTGTCACTGCAGCCAAAGCACACTCGTCTATGTCTGAAAAACCCAAAGACACACATGCATCATAACTATATACTGCTAATTAACTGAAGCGTACTGAGAGACATTGCCAAAACTCTCTTATCAACATGCTCGCTAACACACACACACACACACACACAGTAAATCCTCTCAGATGCCTACGAACCCTGGCACCCTCCAGAACCCATCAGGTAACCACGGAGACAGCTACATGAGTAAGAGCCAGGGGTATTAGTGCAGCTGGCATGGAGACCACATGGTCCTGGCTCCTCTGCTTCACAGTCATCAACATCTGTCGAGGGGAGAGAAGATAATATGCCAAGTGTAGCTGGCATCACTGCATGCAAATTGGCAAAAAAATTCCACTTGTTTGTAAATGGGTACTTTAGGACAAAATACGAATATAACCTATAGTTTCATTCAGCTAAGACAAGCTGTTACCTTGTCCTTAAGAAAAGTCCTGCGAGAAAAAGGAAAAACACATCTTCCCACGCGCCTCTTCTTACCTTTACAGCCTGCAGCTCCATCCAGAGAGAAGCCCACAGGGCAGGTGCAGTTGTCTCCATCCTTCACCATACCAGAAGGACAGCCACATTGTGTGATGTTCTCTAGCATCACTTGGTTTCCTGGACACTGAGGCGCTGAACTGCTGCTCACAGAACCTGTTGTGCTCAAGGGAGCTGCTACTGTGAATGAAAAAGGCAGGGAATTTAAAGACAACTGTGTGTGTGTGTGTGTGTGTGTGTGTGTGTGGGGGGGGGGGGGGGGGGGGTGTGGGGGGCACAGAAATAGTCAGTAAACTCACATGTAGTAGGTGTGTTGCTCTGTGTTTCACTCAGATTTCCAATGGCATTTTCAGTCACCTGATTGTAAAACAGGTAAACTGACAAACTAAGTTGCATTCAATGAATCCATCACATCCAAAAAAAAAAGGACAACAAAGAAACTAAAAGGTATTGCTTTGTTACTGACCTGGCTCTGTGAGAGCTCCACCTCTGTGAGTTTCATAACTTCATTATCATTTTCGTCAGGGTTGTTCAGCGCTTCAGCCACAGACAAAACCAACAGCAGGACTGAGAGAAGGGTCCAGAGGTGAGTCATCATCACCTGAATCTGTATCCGGCCTACAGGGATGAAATGAGTTCACAGAGCCATCAAATCTGCAGGCCTACAGAAGGAGCTCAGATGGTTTAATAATGCATATAATTCTGTTGAGGGCAAAATGACTGGAACTTTACTAGTGTATTGTATGCAGCAGCCAAAAGCCATGCATGTCTGGGCAGGCCAAACAACACAGAGGTTAGAGCACCCTGTTATTACGTTTCACATCAACCCCCTGGGCTGTCTCCTCAGAACAATAGAAACTGCAATAGTCCTTTAGGCCTACGTTAAAGTCTGAATGTTATGAAAAATTAGTCTGAATGTTATGGTTTGTAAAACGTGCATTTATTTTGCGAAAACTTTTGCAAAACGAAACACCATCAACAGTGGGAGGAACTTAAAGCTACTTGAAAGTTGTGAAGTGATAAATGCGAGTACGTGTAACAAACCCGTTTTCAACGACTTACCCGGGTTACGTGTTCTCGTGCTTGAAAAATAAACAGCCGCCACAGAAGCAATGACTTCAATCCAGATGCAGAAAATGCGCTTCCTGTCGTCTCCAGATGCGGACTCGTGCAGCCGTGAGCCAGCTCTGTGTCAGAATGGAGTAGGGGGGCTGTATCCTACATTACAGCAGTGACTCTACATCCTGTCCACAGAAATCTGCACTTCCCATTCCACAGCTCCCAAAAACAACGCTTTAAAGAGGAGCAGCAGTCAGGCAGACCCGCAGAACGCTTCAAGATGCCCCTGATGTGAACCCTGACATGGAGGTCATAAACAAGCCAGCAGACATGGGGCACTTCACAAGCGAAAAACACCGAGGTGTAAAACAAACTGCTTCAAGAAAAACATCAAAGAGCAAAACTCCACATGAGGGCAGCAGGTGACTATTTATCATTTCGACATGGACAACTTATAGATCTCAAAATGGAAATTCGTTCATGGCCCACATTAGTTATTCTATGCAATGTGTCATGTATTTGTGTATCTTTTTTTTTTTTTACTAATTAAAACAATTACAATTATCCTAGTGGCTGCTGATGTCTCTCCTCTCAGTAAATATACAACTATAAATATTTCAAATTGCTTTCCTGCTCTTACATGTTAATTCAAAAGATTTAGAAACTTTAATCTTTCAACATTTGGAAATAAAGATGATATTGCAATAACAGCAATTCTTTTCAAATTATTGGTCAGAGCTTTTGAAGATAAAAATGATTAAGGTTTTCCTGTATGAGGCAAAAATAAAAATGTTACAAAATACTTTGATACTGTAGGCCTATGTGTTTAACTGCAGGCTGTCTAAGGATTCAAGTAATTAACAATATCTTTCCACAAAAAAAAAAATCCTTTGTGAATCAGTTCATATATGACTCGAGTGCATCTAAAAACAGAAAATGACAAACGCAAACGTGCTGTAAAGGACCAAACGATTTCCATGAGGAGAAACAGGCTGCGAATCTAGGAATGTTGGCAATTCAAAAACATGATGCCAAATCAAATGCATTTCCACCAAACAAGCTTCTAATAGTTCATGAAAATTGCATGATCACAAACACTCACACACAGAAAACAAATGCCAAAGAAAAACTACAAATCCAGTCATCGCGATGGAAAGATTCCATACCCTCTCTCTAGAGGGGGACTTTGAAGTGGATTTGGTGAAATGTGATTTATGGAGAAAATAATTTACAAGCACTCTGCTCTGGTTACTTCTGTTCAGTGGTATCAGTTATTTCTGAACCTCTCTTTTTCTCTCAGATCAAAGTCGATGTGTGGGTGTTACGTGGGTGTGGGGGGGAATTTAATTCATCAGCTCATTTTAGCTCATTTCTCCAAATAGAAATAGTTTAGGCGGTTGCAGAAGGTTTATCCTTGCTGGACGATCTACTTATGTAACAAGATGGCTTATGATTAATTGTGGCCACAATTATGTTCATGACGTTACCTTTTATTAGTGATTCAATATTTAGTAGTTGCAAGCTGACGATATCTTTATTTTGCTAAATGGATGCTGAGTAAAAAATGTTCATCAAGCAAAAATTTCGACAAGGTATTAAAATCTCCCAGACAAATGCCCAAGAAGAGCTGTAACATTTCACATGCAACAAATGTGAAAAGAGACTTCATAATAATCATCTGACAGCAAGACGTTTATGAAATCATTTAAAAGCAGATCCTTCATTTATGTGAAGGAAATGAAAGATAAAAGAAACGTTGTTGTAACAAGTATAGTGGGGTCCTCGCGAGCATGGCAGTAATTTAATATTTTTTTACAACATTACATCGCAATGAAAATTATTTTCAGGTGACAACACATATGGTTTACAAATGAACATGGGAATGGTATAACCAGTTCTTTCATTATTATTTAAATCATGTCAAAATAATGTACAACAATTAGCAGGTATACCTATGGACTTTAAATGGTTTAGAATAATCACCATTATACTGTTACTGGTCATGTTGCCAGTCTTTTGCTCAATCACAAATGGCCGCGGTTGTCTTTATAACGGCTAACACGACCATGAGGCATCACAGAACACAACACATTTTAATAGACTTAAACGTCAAAGCGTACAGTGAGAAGCACTTTTAACAATTTAGCATCACATCGACAGTAGCTAGAACTGATTTTAGGCTCTTTGCTCAGCAAAATTATTTTTCTTTCAATGCTATCTTACAGCTAATCTTTCTAAAGTTGTTGTTATGGGAAATAGACAGGACCTGCCTTAAAATATGAGTTCAAAACATCTGTTTTGAGACATTTTTGTTTTATACTGTAGTTTACCGTATAGTTTCTCCATTCTGGCTGAAGAAGAATTATTAAAAATGTTTAGAACAGACAGACTTCAATGGTGCAGGGTTCCTCAGTGAACATTCACTGGAACCAGAAGGAGAAGACTGACATGCCAGGAGACCACTAGAAAGGTGTGTCTATCTGGCTGCCCTTTACAGCAGGTGGCACTACACCATAGCTCCTCTCCTGCCACTTCAGCCACAGCATGTGGACCTCTTTCTGGACCTGCCAAATACACAGACAGAAAAATGTCGTAGTCAGCCTTATGCTTCTGATTAAGATGATGCTTTCTACAATTCATATGCCCCATTGCTCCAATTGTTGTGTGATTTGTTTTTTTAAGACTAATTTGATATGAAATCCAACAGTAGATTATTAAAAACAATATGTGAAAACGTTGGGACTGCTGTCTTGGTAAAGGTTAGATGGAAAACTTACAAGTCATTGTTAAATTCAAATCTCAGCTGCTTGTTGAAAGTAATCGTAAAACTAACGAGTGTCATTACATGAAGGGTTCCCTTTTGAATTTGGACTTAGTTTTGTGACCTTCAGGCCCAGATTATCAGTTTCCTACTGCGTATTTTGTAGCTAAGCTAACAGAGTGCTAACTGTTAACTTACTTTTAAAGGCCATGAGTGTGTTATCGATCTTCTCATTTATCTATTTGAAAGGAAAATTACAAAACTATTGCATAAAATTGAATTTGTTTGAATTAAATATGAAGGTTGATATGAAGGCATACATGATTATGTATATTCAGGTCTTACCTGATGTTATGAGGAATAGAGTAGTAGCAAATTCATTTTTGCATTTTAAGCTGTGAAAACGCTAAAGCTGTAATTTACTGGCAAATGGTTTGGGTAGACAGGTTCACTACAACAGAGAGCAGTTACATTTCCATTAGATTTGTGTAATTGCTTCAGTGAATGCTTCGAAGTGGTGTGGCTTGTACTCACCTCTTGATTAAGAAAGCAATAGAGAACTGCAACAAGAAGCCCCTGGAAGAGAGAGAGTGTTATTCATTAACACTTAGGATCAGTCCGCAGACTTAAAGGTTGCCTATGTAGAGATGCGCTAAATGTCAGACCTAAAAATGAGCTGATAGGCTGAAGAATGAGTAGTAAAACCAGGGAGGGATAGTTTATAATATTTAGCACACACCGTCTGCAATATAACAATTAGTAATATACTGCTTTCTTTTTCACACTTTAATGGGTTTACCAATTTATTTGAATTCTCCATATGAAGGAGAATATGAAAAAATACAAACTTTAGTAAGTTTGGCAACTAACCCAGCCTGTGCCACACGAGACAGGAAGTGTCTGTTAAGGAAGGCACAATGTTCCAGAATTCACTTTGATTCCGAACAACGGATTACCGTTAAGCCCTTTTCCAGTAATTAAAAAGTTTTTACAAAATGAATCCTTGTAAAACGTTGACACTACTAAAGAACGTTACTGAATATATTTGGGAATTAATCTGCTATTCATATGAAAAGGCCAGTGATAATGTTTATAGCCCTATAAGCTTTGTCATTGTAATTCAACTTTGTACCAAGACATTAGTTCGTCTCAAGTTAATCACGTTGATGATCTAGTGACTTTTGATCTAGAGACATCATCAGACACAATCTCCACGTTGTCCTCTGGTTTATCTGCAAACATTTCCATCAGCCGCATCAGCATTCCTGTAAAACTCTAATCTACCATGTTAATCCAGATCAAATGCATGTTAGCTCAAGGTAAGTAACAGGACAAAATTATAGAAAGAAAAAGAGTCACGTAAAAAGTACTGACAAGCTTAAATCAGACAGGTTGACATTTATCAATGCAGAGTGCCTGAAAGTTTTGCATGCCCCTGAGTCCCAGCTGATTTGTGTTGGTAAAGTTTATTTTGTCTACACAGCCAGTGCATTATGGCGTGATAGCATTTTAAAATATGATAATGGACACGGTAGCCATTAAACCTGCCAAACATTACCATGTCACAATGGGTGGGTGCATACTTATGTTAGCAATTAACCCAAAGCCTTGTTGTGTCCAAGTACAGCCTCACAGAGATGCTAGCATGGCTGTAGAATCTTAATTTTGTTTACTAAAACTGTCTGGGGTACACGAGAATTTGAAGGTGAAAGTCTGAAAACACATTTCAGACTTTGCACTTTAAAATATGGCTCTGATTCCTAATTGGAGTTTTAATGAAAGTGCCGGAAGCAAAACAAGACCAAGTGAATTCTAAATTGTAAGCATGAAGTTCTTGGCAAGATATTGTATAAATCAGATGCACTTATTTTGATTGACAGGATCCACTGCCATGTTCACTGATTAATTTAAAAAAAAAAGGGGTTTCTGTCAAAATACAGGGGTCCTATGAAATTACATTCTAGAAATGGGTTGCAGCTTGTGCACGTGTTTAATTGCATATTTTAAAATAGACGTATGCCGTGTTTTACTTGTGTGTACCTGGAATGATCCCATGCAGAGCTCGATGCAGAGGCGCAGGTTGACATTAAAGTAGTCAGGCAGAAAATTGAAGAACATGTAGTGAGTACCAAACAAAGGGATGAGGAGGAGCGTGGACTTGGTCAGGCGTCTGTTGTGTAGAATAAAAAGAAGAAGGTTAAGTGTGAGAAGGGAGTCCATTGAATGCATATTTTTTCCCAGAGTGCTTCTTTGGATAGCATCATGCATGACCACACACAGACGCCAATCAGGAAGATACTTGGGTGATGCATCAGCTTGCATATAACTTTTGTTGATGATCAGAAAGAAATCAGCAGGTGCACGATCCAAATGGAGATTATTAAAATGTGAGTGCAGAGGTAATGTTTTTTTTTACATGTACATATTAATCCAGCTGGTGTAATTTAGTCAAGCATCACTTAACTTACCCCTGGCATGTCTGTATTTAGATCGGGATGAGCATGATGCCTCTGAACACTTTCAGCCAATTAGCAAGCCTATTTCAATTAGAAAGTCTGATAAATCTCTTGAGGAGAGGAGGGTAGACGTGGCCAGACTGACTAAATTTGAGGTAGACACTGAATGAATTCAACATTGCTGCCCACTTTGGTGTATCACAGTTTTCACACTTCTCCCATCTTCCCCTACATCAAAGTGTCTCTTTATTAGAGTAATCAAGTATCAAAGAGACTCAGACAGTCTTTGTAAATGTGTTTGTAAGTCTGTAAAAGCTCAATAGAGAGGGACAAACTGTAAATGCAAACAGGCAAAACTTCAAAATGCGGGACAAGATGAAAGCTGAATTGGATAAAAGCAGATCTAAAACCAGGAGAATGATCCCGTGTTCTTCTTCAGGTTTCTCAGTAATCAAAACGCTGAAAATGTAGATGCTGTATTAAAGTAAGTTCAGACCCCCAGCGTGTCAGCAGCTTAATGATTACCTGTACTGAGACGAATTATTGAACTGGATCAGCCGAGGATTGAGCTTTTGTATCAGGATTCTGATGATGTTCATGAAGAGCATGAAATTGACCTGTTGATAGAAGAAACGAGAAATCAAGGACATAATTGTTATGCTTTGTGTTTGAAATACTTGACAGGCACAGTAGCAAATTTCACTTAAAATATTGTTTTAATGTCACGGTGCAATATAATATATAGACAAGTGTGTAATTGACCGAGACAGTTTTTGGAACTTCCCCTGTGCATAAAATAAGATTTTCACATTGTCTCACAAAAAACCTAAAAAGAAAGTCAAATAAATACCAATCAATAATCTGCTTGGTGTTTTATTAAAAGCCATTAGTTCTGTTTGTTACAGTACTTTGCTGTATATATAAATAAAAGTATCTTTTCATGCAGCCTATGGTTACATCACGATGTGAGCATTTACCGCAATCGACACAACAATGGGTCCCTTAATGATCCACCAATAGGGCGAGTCCTCGTTAATGTCCCAACATCTGCACATGAAGACATTTTTTAAAAGTGTATCTTGGTATGTCTGAAAACAATTTCAAAGGTCTGTTGATAAGTGAGTTTAACTGAGCAGGAAAAGTAACAAGCACCAATTAGTAAAAAAGGCTTTAAAAAAAAACAATCACATCTAATGTTGAATTTCTTATTTTAAAAAAGTTAATTATAATAAATCCTATTTTGTAAATGTGTTTAAAGCACTGTTGAAGACCTTACTGTCTTTTTAATGCAAAGTGTTGCTCATTAAGTCTATGTGTACTTTGGATGTGAAAATAAATGTGCTCGTAGACTGAGGTGGACATTCAAACAAACTCTGTGTCCTCAAAGTACACCCTGGATCCAATCCAGAGAACAATGAAGATTGCAGGTACACCTGTAGAGGCACAGAAAAAGACAAAAACAATGGCATTGAGACGCAAACAATACACTAGAGGGATCATGACCCAAGACATAACCTTACTGTGAAGAACTTTTGATTTAATTTTCCTCTAAATATCCATTAATCACTTTCAAAACTAATTAACAAAATCAAAAAAGAAACCTGGAATGTGAAACATGTAAAAGGAAATAGTTTCCTTTATGAAAAGTTGTGTGTCGCCACAAGCTCGAACAATGGGCTGGAAACAGCAAATGACACATAGTAAGTTTTTGTGCGCTTGGAGATAAATAGCAGCCTCGGAAGAATCAAATTATCGGGATAGCAATAAAAAAGCGTATTTCTTTCTGAAATGAAAAGTGCAGAAACTAATTCTGCACATAATGCACTGGCTGCGTAGACAAAATAAACTTTACCAACCCAAATCAGCTGGGACTCAGGGGCATGCAAAACTTTCAGGCACTCTGCATTGATAAATGTCAACCTGTCTGATTTAAGCTTGTCAGTACTTTTTACGTGACTCTTTTTCGTTCTATAATTTTGTCCTGTTACTTACCTTGAGCTAACATGCATTTGATCTGGATTAACAATATCAATGATTTAGTCTTTTAAATCATCACATTTTTTCCCTAAAGCATTTTACTTGCTTTACTTTTACTTTCAAAATTTAAAGTGGAAGAGTTTTTTTTTTTTAAATAGTCTGTATCATATAATGAACAATTTCATACAATACTATATTTTTAATGTGGTATATTTTATAATTGAATCAAACTCTAAATCTAATCAATACAAATGTAAAGGGAGCTGCATGCCAAAGTCTCTCACCCCATCCCAGCAGACTGAAGCCCCAGAGGCATCGGCGGCTGTGATAGAAGGACGAAAGCAGCAGAGAATTGAGGTAAAGCGCCTCCACCAGGAGCCAGAAAAAATTAGCCATTACACAGTAGTGACAGAAGACCACAGAGGCCTTACAGGCAAACTGCACAGAAAGAAAACGAAGCAAAGAAGGACAGAGAGTGAATTTGAATTAAGGGATTGAAATAAGGGAGGAGATTGACAGTCAATATGCGAGAGAGAAAACTGCCCAGAGGAGTTCTTGAACATAATCCACAACCTCTTGTCTTAAATATCATTAACTTACTGTGGATAGGGTGCAGTGGTTGGTGTCGTCACTTGAAAACAGAGTAGCATCCTTTATGAACACGGCCACAGCTTTCAAGATAAATGTGATGAAGAGCTGGATGTGAATGAAGTTCCTGGCACAGCGGAGCCTCCTATTGAAGAGACAGGTAAGAGAAAAAAGGAATGAAATATACTCAAGGGCATGTTTGTAATGTTAAATGAAAGAAACATCTAATCAGCCAGAGAGCCAAAATAAGATCCACATTTTAAAACACATTGTTACAAATTAATAGACATCATGGCAATAATCTCAGATTCCATAGATTTTGACTGGTTAGTAAATAGAGTATGATATTAATTCAGACTACCCCCCCCCCCCCCCCAAATAAAAAAATAAATAAAAGGGAACCCAAACCAGTTAGTAACAAAACAACACCATCATTTGTAGGAATTATTTCAAAGACAAACAGAGTAGATTCATTCATCTGTAAAGCTGCTGGACAGAGAAAGAACCAAACCATTCATTAGGGGATAGTGTAATTTTGAACTCTCCTGCTCCTCTCTGTTCAGTGAACCAAAGAGCTGGGTGGGCAGCTGTGAGCAGACCCTTGACATTGTGTCATTCAGTTGCTAAATGGACTAAAGGGACCATCAGGTCAACTTCAAACAGGGATGACACCCATAAAGGTAAATGTTACAGCTGAGAGGTAGAGAATGGAGCAGCACGTAATGGAAATAGTAACATCTTATCCTTAACACCATAATGGTTGCTTTTCGGTGTTTCTTTTTGGTTTCCTAATAAGAAGCTTTACATTGTTTTTATATAACAGCATTACTCTCCTTCCTTCAAATAAAAGTAAAGCGTTTTGGGAAATATGAATACTTTGTCTAAATGTTGTGAGATCCAGTATTCTTTACCTACTGATGACAATAAAATGGAGAAGATTTTACAAATACCGAAGTATTCCTTTGACAAATTCCCCTTGATATCAATTTAAATCCGGCAAAGCTACAAACATGTATTCCATGTGATGCTTTTAAATAAAAGAATAAAAAAATACAGCTCAGGACTGAGACGATTATCCTTCCTTGTAAGAGTTACAATTCTTTAATCCTTTTTATCATTATACAACAAACATAGTGTCATGCTAACATTTTATTTACTTACATCCATTTAAGAATTGTGATAGCTAATGTTGGTTCTCTGTTTCGCATGACTGGTACAGTTAAAAATGGAATCAAAGTTGTTGTTTTTTTACAAACGTAATCTATTTTAATGTAATCTATACATACCTTAAGAGCAACAGGATCATCACAGCAACAGTCAGCACTAATAGAGAGATGCTGTAACCGACGGTGTATATCAGCTTCACTGTGGCATAGTATGACTGCTCGGCCTGAAATCATGACATAGAAAGTAGAGTTTGTTAAAAAGGGTGATGGATCCCAAATGCTGAAGCTTTAACATGACAAAATGAGTCCAAATAACAGAGAAGCTTCAGATAAGACTGTACCATGATGAATTCAATATGACTGGATACAAACTAATACTGGATTGACAAATACTGTATATATAAATATAAATGAAAAAGTAACAATTGGATCTTTAGAATGTCACTTACAGACTTTCCACCCTGGCTTCAAGAAGTATTATTAAAAGTATTTTATTAACTCAGGACAGAAGAAGCTTCTTATAGTATATAATGTAGGCTAGTTCTCTCAACATAATCCTCCAAAAACAATATTCAGAACATTTAAGCGCCATTCTCTCTTTGTCAAACATGATGATGTCTGCTATACCTGATGAGTTTTGGATGAGGGACATTAATGCTTGAAAACATTTGAGTTTCTATACTCCTCAAAGGCATCGGGCCAGTGAACATATACTCACATCTCAACAACTCAAACAAAAACAAAGGTAGGTAAAGTAGTTTCACTTTATTACAGTCTACCAGACTGCACATGAATTCGGACCACTTGAACATCTTGTAGCATGTATCCTGTCCGACATCTTTGTTAAGCTTCAGCTCCCTCACCTCAGGGATGTCAGCATCCACACTGCAGGCGATGTGATGCGGCAGGAAAGGTCTGGACCAACCCTCAGTGGTGCAGTTACGGCTCACTGAACCTGAAGCAGAGGTAAGGAGATTGAAAAGTCAACCAAGCCATAATAATGTATTCTTCAGATCAGAGTTTCTACATTGTCAAGAGAAAAAGATAAGACATGTTTTGTGTTTGTGGTCATGCTCGTGACTTGGCTCTTGGGATGGTAGTGTTGGACAGCTGCGGTTGTTTGGTGGTAAGGATTTCCATCGAGGAGGAATTCTAATAGTTATGATAATTTCCAGACACCCGTAGCGCCATGAGAAGATAGAGCTTCCAACCTTTCCAGTGAAATATCACAAAAAAATTCCTTAAAAAAAATAAATAAATAGTTTTCATCAGATAAAAAAAGTTCCAACTACAAACTAACCCACAATAAAAAAATAAATTAAAAAAACAACACAGACAAAACAAAACAATGGACTAGGCAGTGAAAAATACAGCAAAGCTTCAGCTTCAACATAGCATATGACAAAGGATGTCACACCTGGATATCACTAAGCAGGGACTACAATCAAGAAGTGGAAGAATTAAGAAGACCAGGCTCCAGATATTTTCACATTATCACTAATCCCCATGAGTGTGGCCACAGAGCCTTTCAAGATGGGGCGGCAGTAGCTCAGTCTGTAGGGACTTGGGGGTCGCCAGCTTAAGTCCCGGTGCGGACCAAAGTACAGAAGTTGTTCTGGTAGCTGGAGAGGTGCCAGTATTCCCAAAGTGCCCTTGAGCAAGGCACCGAAGGCATCGGCAGCCAAAGGGGGTTCGGTGCTCCCTGAGTAGCAGTGTGTAGCAGCCCCACTCTGACATCTCTCCATTAATGCTTGTCCACAGGTCCTGTTAGTGTGTATTTCAGGCCTATGTGGGTTGAGAAGCAGGTCTCTCAATAACAGAGTGTAAAGCAGAATTTCCCTCAGGGAATAATAAAGTATTTCAAAATCAAAAGATGTATTCCTGACACTAGTTCCCTAACCCCCCTAGAAAAACAGTGAGCGCTAGTAGCCTTCAATTCCTTAAGTGTTATTCCCTTAGCCTCTAACAGACCAAATATGAGAATCTGCTGCACAGTATTGTGGTAGTGTAACAGAAGTTTCAGAGCAACCAAACAAGGCAATCGATGTATCTGGTTAAATCTTTAAACCACACATTTTACAGTACCAGCTAAAGATAAGCTGCCAGGAAGGGACAATCTTTGGACTCAACCAAAAAGCATGACCCCCTAGAGTATCCTTTGCTATATTGCATCTGTCATAAAAATTTCAGAAACACTAGCATACCTTTTGTTCATCTTTTCTTTAGATTAGTGTAATCTAACTTTAAACTGAAAAACTGCAGCCTCGTATTAACTGAGCCTTGGTGGATCCTTTCCATTCCCTCCGTCCACACCACCTCAGGCCACTCCTCACCAAGATCAACCTCTCAGGCATCAGACGATACAGGATTCATATTATAATACAATAACACTAATTTTGAGTTGAGATGTTCAGAATCACAGTGTTGCATAAAAAGAGTCGTCATTGGGAAAGCTTTCAAAATATTTCAAATGATTCTTAACTAAATTTCTGACCTGTAAATAACTTAAAAAAGGACTTGCAGAAAGGAGTATGTTTCTTTCAGCTTTATAAAAGATGCAAAATGATCATTTATAAACAGGTCTGCAATTGTTATAAGTCTTTCACCCAGCCAGTGAATAAAGGCTTGGATTTGGATGGAAGAAAATGATGATTGAAACAAATAGAATATATAGAAAAATCTTGTGCTTGACAACCCTTTTCATTTGTTTCAGTATTTTAACTGAGTTATGTAACACAAAGATATCTTTTGTTTAGAAGAGGAGGGCTGAAAGAGAACTGTTTCTCTCTGCTTGAGACTCCAATTACAACCATCACTTGGATGTAGGCCAGTTATGGAACACACATGTTTTTGGGTCCCTTTGTACCTTATAGAAAAAGCTTAAGTGCCAGCTCTTTCATGAATAACTACGACCTTAATGATGATCACGATGGTTTTGATATTTTTTATGATGATGATGATGTTGGTTTTACGGTTTTAGACTCTCTGTCTGTGTTAGACTGTTACATATCCTCACATAAAAACAATAGTACTAGTTCTTTGTTCTTCTGTTACATACTTCACAGTCGGCATTCTACCTAAAAGCTGCTAGTTCACTTTTTAAAATAAAACTAAATTGATTTCAGACTCCTGTGACCAGAACTCTCTTATTCAGAAAACAATCAAACGGTTGAGTGACATGAAGAACGATTTAAAAAAAAAAAAAAAAAAAAACCCTGAAACAAACATACTTGTGAAATCATCATGATAAAGGTATTTTAATTTTGACCCTTATGTGCACTTGTGTTCTTCTTTAAGGTCCATTGCCTTATCACTATACAGAATCCCCTTTTCACCACAATCTTTAAGTCACCTGTGTTGTTTTTGAAGAGGGAGAAGACTGCAGGACAAGCTCTGTGGACTGTTTCCCCAAACACTGCAAGAGGCCAGCACACGACTGCATCCCAGAATGGCGGACAGCCTTTTCAGAAGAGGTTTAGGAGAAAACAGGTTTCAATAAGTGTTTGACAGGTTAAGTTTATCAGAACAACAATTCCCACATTTATAACTGGTGCACACCATTACCTTAAAAGCATAGAATATATACCCATATATCAAGTGAAATACCCGAGTTGTACGTCTCTGTAAATTCTATACAGACAAGAATATTGTAAGTGATGAACAGAGAAGTATGTCACCAAGCAAAAACATATATCTTGGGATAGATTACAAACATACATCTTTATATCATTATTCTCAATGGTTTCCTATGCATTACAGTTATAAATCACACAATGAGTTTTTATTTTGCAGGGGAAACAATCAAGAACATGTTCATAAAAATGGTGATTCACCTTTAGGCATTAATGACGGTCAGGTTCTTGTTTATAATGGGAACATTTGCAGCGTTTATTTCAAAGCTATGCTGGAACTTATATTCGCTACAACAGCAGGGCAATTTTATAATGAATAAACACACCCTCCATGCTTCTGTTGCCCTGCTCGACGATGTACTGAAGGCAGTTCTGCTCCTCTCTTTCCAGCTGAAATATTAACTCACACTCAGGGTGCAGGCTGGACAAAGCCTAGAGGTAGGATAGGAGACAGGGAAGAAGAAAACAAGGAGGGGACGCTCTTTTAATACGGAGACATTCAAGTAAACCATAAAGGGCATTCACATGAAAAAGGCACGTCATAAAAACATTACTTCAGTCACTCATTTTATGTCATGCCTTTAGCAGGAAATGCTTCCCCAATTATACATAAACTTTTGTCAAAACACATCCATCCCAACTACGTACTAACACAAAGAGGGGAACTATAATATTTTTTAACTTTCTTTAAAATACCTAAGGACAAAGAAAGTCTGAGCTCTATTCCCTCCACTTATTGTCAAGATCAGTCTGTTTTTCTGTCACTTTGTTTTTATTATCATTATTATTATTATTGTTATTATTATTATTAAAAGAATATAAGTGTATTTGAATTTGATTGACACTGATCTCAAATTAGTCACGTTTTCTGAGACATGTTATGAATGTAGTTTGGAGGGTAACATGGGTTGAGGATGAAGGAACAAAAAGACGATAGAACTGTCATGACATGACTCTGGGGTAATTATCTTTTTGGCTCTACCTCCGAACTGTGATTGAACTGTGATAATGAGCCTGTTGCTTCTTTGTCAGTGAACAGCTGGCATGTAAAAAAAAAAAAAAAAGGTTATATGCTCATATTAACCTGCTTAATGTGAATGCACAAACATTCACATTCATGTGGTCTATAAGAGCCAATAGACTGGATGTTGTTCTTGACCATTTGAAGTGAAGACATTTGATTGTCCCATCACTAAAGTTTTTAAAGCACAGTGTGGATTAAAATAGAGTGTGTTTGGCAGACTGGGAAATGCCCACTGCTGTTTTGAGGTCAAAAAGACGATCACTGCTGTTTTATTGTCTGCTGTTCGACTCTCCAGTATGCATAACATCGCCAGTTTTAATCCATATTTGTAAAATGTCAAACTTTTCAACTGCAACCAAACCACACAAAAGCAAATCATCATCATGCTGCCAGTTGCCAAAACAAAATGTCAAGAGGTACATGCACATATTAAAATTAGAATATCAAGAGTAAAAAAAAAATCTTGTGTAAAAGTCGTATATTAAGTTCTAAATAAAGTAATATTTTACACAGAAAAAAACTGATTTCAGATTATTTTAAAGATGTTTGAATATGTTAATTTACTGAGCAGATTGATGGTGTTGATTGAATGTTTAGATGGTTTCAAATTCTATGGTTTACATTAAACCGTAATTTTGTTTTATCACAAGCTGTGCGGGCGGCTGTGGATCAGTGCAGAGAGTCGGTTGTCTCTCAACCGGAAGCAGGTTCGATCCCCAGCTCCTACAGCCACTTGTCCGATGTGTCCTTGGGAAAGACACTTAAACTCAATTTGCTCCCACTGCCTTGTCAGCAGTGTGTACATTTGTATGAATGGATTAGTTAACACTGATGCCCACTTTACATAGCAGCCTTTGCCATCAGTGTGAATGGATGTGACCTGCGATGTTAAAGCACTTTGATCAGCCTGAAGACAGAGCTATATCCATTCAACCAAAGACCTTAAACATCAGGATGTTCTTCTGCTAGCTTTGACTAGCTCATTTTTTAGCAAATAACTTGAATGATAAACTGTTAATGTTGTAATGGCAATGTAATCACTGCCTGGATTAGGCAATGTTCTTTTTTAAATTTTATTAAGGTAATTTTCCATTTGCTTTATATAGAACAACTGTTTATCTTCTTTATTCAGGAAAGTAAAGCATGAGGTTTATATGCATGATAGGAAGTATCCGTTATTCTAATGACTGTAGCTCCAGGTTAATTATTACACTATAATGATGCTGTTTATTCATTGTGGTGCAGCGTTTGCTATGGAAAAGGAAAAAGGCCACACTTCTTACAAAACAAGTCTCTGCAAGAGCCTTCAAGACATGATTGTCTAATTACAGTGACTTAATGGGAGGGAAAGGCACAATGAGTGTTCATTTGGGTGTTAAAAGAAGAGATGGGCACATTAAGATATACAAGACAAAAGTACTTATATTGAGAACTAAGAGGGACTTATATGCAGACATGTGATCACAATATTCCTCCATAGAATAGCAATAGAACATATCATTTTTCCTTTGCAGAATATTCTGAACTTTAAGTGTCTCCTTTGGTTTTTCAACACATACATATTTAGTGATACAATGAGAGCAACAAACAAAGTTTAAATACAGCCACATTTGACATTGATAAGCATGTTACACAGACTGTTGTCCTTGATTCAGCTTAGTTCGATCACATGTAAAGCCTGGAGGTAAAACAAGTCTAACACAACTGAATGGAGAAAAAAGCTTTGGAAGCTAATTTCCCCTGAGACCACAAACACTCCCTTTGGAGGACTCTGGCTTACCCTCCTCACCAGCTTTCTGAAAGCCATCATAAAGTATGCTTGAGTTATGTGTAATAAACACTTGCATTAAAAAGGTCCATGAGTTTCTCTGAGGGAGAGGGAGGACAGCAACAACTGCGCTACTACACCTGGAGCCATTACATGAAATTACGTAGCTGAGTACGACTTGCATTGACGTAGCTTTTATATAATCATAATGTTGTGCACAGATCTGAACTGAGCAAACACTTGGAATGTTGTTTGAAACTGTAAATCAACCTTGCTGGTCAGTTCAGGGTCGACTTTCAGGGTCTGTGAAAGGCAAAGTCAGAGTCACTTTGGAAAGTGAGAATGTACTACAAATAGTACAGAGACATTTTTATATGTAAAAGAAAAGTATATTAATGGCTTCCTTTAAAAAAATCGGAATACAGTTATTGATTTGAACATTCATTTCTTTAAGGGAATATACAGACGTCCTTTTTGCAATTGACAAAGGGAACTTTGGGTGAAATTGGTTAGGACCCAAACTCTTTCTCTTTTCTCAAACACATTTGCTCACCTCAGATCATTCTCCTCAATTTAACAATGACAGAAGGGCCTGTGTTAGTGGATACAAATCAACCACTGTAGACGTACAGAATTAAAAGACAACAGAACAGCATCTTTCAAATTGTCGATGGACAGAAAATAAGTTTCCCCTTTTTTCTAAAAGGAATTAAAAATTATTTTATCAGCTGACAGCAACATTTCTCCTTCTGTCAGTGAGAAGAGTACATTTCTGCCTGTCAAATGATGCACTGATCATAATTGAATGGGATGTTTTAAATGTTTACATCAATTGCTGCTCTTCCTGTTGAAAGAACAGCAAGGTATGCACAAGTAATGTCTTTATTTAACTCCTAACTCCAAGTCTATTTCAGATATTCCCAAATTGTCGTATGTGTTTGTATAGGGCATGATGTGTACGCAGATATAGCAATATGGTAGATTGAACTCTAGAGTTTCAGAATTTATATTCAAATCAGAACGCTGTATGCACAAAGCACTCAAGAATAAAAACCTCAGATAAATGGCTCAAGGTATGTCGGATAATCACGGACACTGTGAAGACATTTTATCCTACATGTGAATGTTACGCAGTTGACGGGAAGTGAGCAAAGCCCTTGGTGGCAGAGGGGGGCGAGGAACCAAGTGAGAGACAAGACTGGGTGGTTATTATCACAGAGGGCGCATGATGTGTTCATTTATTTTAACTGCACAAGGAGGATAAAGGAAGACGCTGCTGCATTTAAGAGTAAGAAACTCGAGCTGTAGTAAATAACAAGGGGGCTCCATGAGGTAAGTCTGGATACACTGAGCCATGAAAACAAACGCAAAGACAAGCCCCCCTGTCACACTGCCAGGCTCGCGCGTAGCTTCCTGTAAAAATGCTCTCTGAGAGGTAAAGCCCATTATCCACTAACTATGTGAAAGGGGGCCATTGGATTGGGCTCACTTTGCAGATGTTGCCGTCTATTTTCAACAGCAAATGAGATCACTTTTCCGCTTGTGCTGCACTGTATAAATATATGAAACATGTTCAGTCAGTCGGAAATAGAGCACATATACTCACAGCCTCTGAAGTTCAGAGATAGATAGAATATGAATTATGTAAGTAAAGCATCACAAGGGAGTTACATTTATTCCATTTTTTTACTGAGAGTAAAGAAGAATGATACAGTTTAATATATGTATGCTGAATATGAAGATGGTAAGTTTAGCCAAGTGTACTAACATTGAGGACAGAATAAGAGTTTTCTTGTCTCTGTGTGAAGCTGACACCTGCCGATACAGCTACTGGATGTAACCTAACACTAGCTTCAGATTCATTTTGAAGACATGACACTGGTATCTAACTCACAGCTGAAAAAGAAAACAAACAAAAAAACATCTGTCTCATTTTAAACTTTTAGATTGAATATTCAAATCATCATTTGTTTTGTTTTGTTTTTTACTTTTGAGGTGGACAAAGTGGTCATTTTTATTGAATTGTTAATCTGCATTTAGAAGTCCAAAAAGTAAGCACCTGGATCAGGTTGATCATATTTAATGTTCTTAAAAAACTGAGACAAAAGTAAATTGGATTACCTGATCATGGATAGAAAAAAAAGGTGGATTTCCAATTTTGATTCAATCTTTTGAAAAAAAAAAACATCAGTGGGACTCCCCTTGGTTTATGTCAGGTTTATGGCATTAGATTTAGGTGCATTTAAAGTCATTTGGCTCATATTTTTGTCATGCTGCCAAAAGGAAGACCATTTTTTTTTCTCTATGTGCTGCCTAAAGTGCAGGATGTCAATAAATCATACAATTCAAAGGATGACCTCCACTGTTATATTAGATCACTGTTAGAGACTGTTTTTTTTTTAATATGGGAGTGTTTGTTTGTGTGTATTTATGGAGCACAGAGTTCATTTGAATTATCTGCTGTCTTTCGCAGTGAAAGAAAAAAGAAGAGCACAGTGATGAGTGTCTCTGATTTTGCCACGCTGAATATCACACCACCTGTGTGTGTGCTTCTCATATTTCTATTCCATTATGGAAATTAGCGAGGTGGCAATGTAATAATAATCTCATAGAGCTATGTGTGCGTGTCGCTGTGTGTGAATGCCCATGCATGTGTGTGGTTTGTTGCCTCTCTTGTTTCTTCACAGTTGATTAGCCACGACAAATTGGTGGTGCTATCAGTGACCAAAAGTAAATCAGTCATTTTCACTTTCCTGAGTCACTTTGCTTTGAAATATAATCAATTGAATAATAGACAGACAGACAGACAGACAGACAGACAGACAGACAGACAGACAGACAGAACATACTTTCATCTCACTTGCTTTACATTGCCTACTTGTATCAAGTAAAACTTGTATCATGAATATTGGATACATGGAGCTGGACCAATGGAAAATCACATCACATATGATTTAAATACACGCCATAGCCTATACAAATAACATTCGCCTAAACCCAGCCTAAACAAACACATTACCCCTCATGTTATTTGCACTCATACACAGAGGGGACTCTTTCTAATGCAACATATTATTGTTATGGGTTACTACACTCAAAAAATAATATGATAAAGAAATGTCTTAGGAACCAAACATCTGCTCATCAGATGTTTGGTTCCTAAGTGCAAAGCTTGCACTGATTTGTCTTTATTTGAGCTTATTGAATAACACAAATCGTCATTATATTTAAAAAAAAAAAAAAAAAAGAAGAAGAAAGAAAGAAACAAATATAATTGCATCAACTTACGGTGTTTCAAATGGAAATACATTTGAATTTATAATGGAAATTTTAATTTAGGTGTTTTACTTTATCACATCAGTAGTTTTCGAAGTAGCTGAGTTTTTTATTATATACAATCCTGGTAGTTTCCTCCAAAGGGAGGCCTCAAGTTTTCTACGTTGCAAATATAATCTTTTTAATGTAATTTTTTCAACTCACCATTGAAGCCAAAGAAAGAGTGAGAAACATCCCACTGATGAGCGGACAGGTCATGTCGGTTTCCTTCGTTCCTTCACCACACTCCTACAACGGGAAGCTGAGCCCAAATATACAACTTGTCAAACACACAGACATGAAAACAATTCACTTCCGGTCAACATTTTCAGACTAAAACTCATGTTGTTGATTCTGTTGTTCTGCTCGTAAAAAAATATCTCCTCGCCGCTTGTCAAAGGTCTGGTCGAATACCTCCGACTCCATCATCAGTGATTACACTTCAATGACCATCGCCCATTGGTTTACACGACTTGAAAATGAGACGACTGTCTGTTATTTTGAAGGTACACTTCCGTCACCAGTCTGGTTGGCAAATTTAACATCAGGGTCTGAGCGGCTGTCTGCGCACTTAATGACATTCATAGAAGAGATTCTCCAAAAAAAAAAAAAAAAAAAACAGCCCTCTTGTCTTTATACACGCGAAAATAAAATTGATCTCCTGAGGTAATCTCAACATTAGAACTGAAACTTAAAGGTAGGTGAATACCGGGATAAACCGGTATTCATGTACTTATTTGTTCATGCAGTAACTCTAAATTGTGTTGAAAATTGTTTTTAATTAGTCCAGAAAACTGTGAAATAATAAAAGAAGATTAAGAAGAATTGAAAATCCCTAACTCTGAATTAAAAGAACCTGGCTATGTAAGAACTATCTGGCTTCAAGTGACAACTCTGTGTATCTTTCAAATATTTTCTTTATTATTTTGGCACTGATTATTTACCCAGCAGGGTCTCACATGTAAAATCACAATCAAGCTAATTCGCCGAGTATTATCCTGGCAGGCTGTCTTAACGCTTGACTTCTGATAATGTCACTCAAAACACAAGAAAATACAGGAGACATGAGTATGGTGTTATAAACTAAAGCTATTTTCTGGGATTGTGTTGACTTATTTCTCTTTTCAGAGAACCCTCTTCATCCCCCCCTCTGATGTGAATAGGTGGTGTGTATGGCAGGAAACATACTTGTTTGTGTGCTGATGTGTTTCTTTATCTCAGAGTTGCTGAATGAAAGAGACGTCACACAGAGATAATGTGTCAGTCTTGTTGCTCTGAGGTTCCACGCTGTCAAACACTCAACCAGACACAGATTAGCGGATGTCGTAGCCATAGTCACTCTCACATTTTATTCATGTTTACCGGCTGTTATCTACAGTCCTATTTCCACTTAAAGTGAGCATGTGTAGTGATGACTCATGTACAATTTACTCCTCAAAAGTAATCCTTCAAAGACAGCATGTAAAAAAATCTGTCCCTGTTTGAGTTCCTTTCAAAGATCGTGTATATCTAATAGATAAAATATTGTTTGAAACAATTTATAAAATAATTCTCACAAATGTGCAGCTCTGTAGAGAAAATACAAGCTTTGCATAAAAATTGCACCATTGAAAAATGGAAGAGATCTCACTGAAATGCCAAACAGATCTCTACAAAAGCAGCATAGATAAGCCCATTCTCTAATAAGTAATGGTTGTTTCCAAAAGTGACCTTATTGCTTTGCTATAAAAAAAAACAACGATAAACACACAAAAATCAAACTCATCGTGTCACAGAGAGAACAGTATAGATGGTAAACATGACATGAAAAAAATCAAATGAAAAAAAAAAATCAACTGATGAAACTTAAGTGTATTATATTGAGCTCATTGTGAATTAAATGCGTAAAAAAGTGTCATTTTCTGAGTGAATTACAACAGAGTTAGTAAAGAAAACCAACAGCTGGCAATTGTAGTTAAAGGCACTTTGAAAGAACATAAGCTGAGAGTGAATATTCTTTCACTCAGAGTAAAGTCCCATACAGCACAGCCTGAGAAAGAACAGGCACTCTGCTTTATTAGGACCTCTAAGCAGGATGAATAAAGCTGTTTGTAGATCTCCTGAAATAAAGTAAAACACTCAATAAAATGGCAGCTTTTTCTTAAATAAAGACATGAGACCATGTGAGTAAACGTTTTAAGTCTGTCCCCTGAGATATATGCTGTTTTATGAAAGATAAAGTGTTGTTTCGTAGACCACTGAGTAGTCACTGCCTTGGTTTTGAAAATAGTGTTAAAAAAATATAATTTAACCTGCCACTGGCAAGATACATATCTGCACCTTTTATGCTTTTTTTTAAACTTTCTGATTGTAAAAATCTTGAAATATTTAAAACTTGCTGTGACTCCAAACATGTTAGAATCTTTCCTGGGTCTTCAAGGAAAACATTAAAAGATTAAAATCAGTCTCTTTTTCAACACAGGAGACTTTTGGGGACAAGCGAGGCCAAACTGAATGCAGATTACAGAAGGAAAATTACACATTTCTTTAACTGAACAACTTAGTGATTTAAACTTAAGTGAACTAAAGGTATATGTTTGTACTACTTGGTTTATAATTTTAAAAAACATTCCTCTATGTGTTTCATTTTCAAACCCCTTTAGACATAACTTCCCCTCACAAACAGTTAAAATATGATATGATGCCACAGAGTTAAAGGAACTCATTTAAAACATAAATCATGATAAACTTGGGTAAAAACATGTGTTTGACACGATAGTAATTCCTGGTATTAGGTTTGAAACAGTCCTTAAATTGCCATTTTTAGTGTGTTTCCACATTGACATCATGATAGTGTCTTTGTGACATCACGCTGATGCCTCTGCAGAAGCGTCTCAGGGAAAGTCACTTCCATCATAGATGATGGGCTTCTCCATGGTCAGATGATAGAAGACTTTCTTGGAGATAAACCTGTTGGGAGAAAGTTCTCGGATCAAAGTACTGCAATACGATCAACTGAAATGAGATGCTGAGACACAACAGGAAGCTGGTTTTAGGCAAAAACCCGCACACAAGAACACCAGATGGTGGCGGGAAATAAGGGCATATACTGTACAATGACAGTTTAAATATTTCTGTAAACAACAAATTCTCCACTTAGAGGAGGAGTCAGGACAAGGACCGTTGTTGACAGCTTGTCCTGATTCACGTCTGTTCAGCACAGTGATTGTATACTTGTATGTACTTTCATAGAAGGTTTTTGTTGTGTTTGAATGTGACGTGCATGACTAGAGCACTGTTCAGACGGCCCATAAAAAGGCGCGACAGAGGTGTAACGGGGGGATGAAGTGATCCCAACTCTGTGCCGCCTTTGGAGATTTAAACAGAGGCGTTACAGGGGTGAGCCGGGATCACCAGAGCCAGAAGGGGAGAACAGCAGTGTGTGTGCATGTCTAAGTGTGTGTGTATGTGGAGCTGTTTCTCTACAACTTCTGCTTCCGCAACGCTGCAAGTCACTGAATTCACCAGTCTTGTACATCTATATTATGCCATTGTTGAATCACTATGAATGTACCAAGACGTAATGACGGTGGAGCTTTGATTAGGCGTTGTGGATTCACACTGTTAAAAGGGCTCAAGATTTAACATATGTGTGCAATAGATGGATATTTAGGGATCCATTGCTGACACATTCTCCTTTTATTCCCATGTAATTCTACTTTCTGTCTTCATTCATATCTATTTTAAATTAAAAATTAAAAATGAAAGATAAGCTCATTACCGTGAAAAGGAGTTGTCAAAGATAAGCGTGTAGAGACCAGGATGTCTGACCTTCAGCTGCCCCTGAATTGTCTCTTTATGGGAATTACAGCGAGTGAGAGGAATCAGGACCTGGGAGAGGAACAGAAAGATTGGTCTGAACTGAAACTTCATGTAAAGACTTATTGTCAAACAAAGGCCACACAAACAGATGTCTTTATAATGATCTCTTCTTGCTCTAATTACTTTATCTACTGACTGTACATGTTGGACAGCTAGAGCGTCATTATCATTGTGTACTGTAGTTATGAAGATATAAATAATAAAAGAAACTGAAAAATACAACTGGAAAGGTAAGGTCAGAACTCATTTATAGCCCCTGACATTTGGAAGTACAGGATGTTTACTTCATCTTGCTGGGCAACACTGGCCACCTGCAGTTTCTTTCTTTCGAAACTGCAGGTGGAAAGATCAAGCAAATAGTCCTGTTATCTGCAGGAGGTGCAGGGTCAGTCCTTTGTGTGTGCTAATAAAATGTTTTATTAGTTTTCAAGTGGCTGCAATTTCTATGAATAGAAAAGCATTTCCTTCAGCCTCAAGATGTTTTCTTATATGGGGGCAGGGAAAAAAATAGTCATTGTTTTTTTTTGCCTTTTCCTTACATGTCTGTGTCAAATGTAAAAGAAACAAATGATGCCAATGAAGGTCCACAGTCATAAGGCGCCTTTACTGTGTAGGCTTATAAGTAGCCTGTAGTTCCATTGAACAGACATAAAAAGCACACAATGAGCTCATCTACCTTTGACTGATCCACCTGAGTCTCAGCAGATTCCCTGTAAACCACACTGAAGGAGATGCTCTTGGGTTCAGAGGAAAACACCCAGCTGATGGTCGGCCCGCAGTCACCCACAGCAACAGTGATCACACTGTAACAGCTGGACTTGATAAAAAGTTCCCTGGAACCATCGCCGAACTGAGAAATATCTTCAATGCTGAGAGGGACCGCAACCCTGCAACAAGAAATGGTTAAAAATATATTTAAGAATGGGATTAATACAAGGTGACTCATCAGTTTAGACCACAAACACATGAAGGACCAGACTCACGTGACTTCTCCTGATCTGAGAAGGTTGATTTCTGAATCCTGAACAGTGGATATCTGATCCTCAGGATCATCAGGTGTCACATCTCCTGTGCTGCAGCAGAATCAAACATAGGTTTTTAATGTTTCGGACTAATGTTTCATACTACAAAAAGGATGTTCTTCACCTGTTTGCAGATGGAAATACAAAAGTCCCCTGGTGTAGCCAACAAAAACATCTCTCAGAGCATGTTGCTCATACACTCCACATTTCATTTTGTGCATTAGAAGTATAAAACGGGTATAAACAGGTACCATGGCTCTTCTTCTTTTTTTTTTTTTTAACGATACAGAGTTTTTAAAGCTTTTATCCCATTCTCTTCTTTTGACATTGTGCTTGACAAATATAATGACATATAATTGAAGTCAAGCACATCTTTGCACATTTTTAATGTGTGGTGCACGCATTCTTGGATGTCAGTACATGAATCATGATTTGGAAATGTTTTTGCATACTTTACAAGCATTGAGTGAATGCTTAATTTTCTTCCCATCACCGTTTCACCGTAAGCACCTTGTAACTTGTATTCTTCACACTCTTGTAAAAACACTTACAGATAAAATAATGATTTCTCTTCATACTCTGCTTTCATTTCCATCTATAATGTATGTGTGCACAATAAGAAACCGTTAAAAGAAAAATCAAAAGAAAACTACAGAGGCGAAGTTTATGTGTGGGCAGATGTTTTCTTTTCTTCACATGTCTGAACCTGACTGTTGGAGAGAGTGATTGAGCACAGCAAAGATGTAGCAGCTCATGACACTGAGAACACACAAGCTCTGAGCTTTGACTTGAAAAATCTGCAACACAATGTTCAATATTCAGAATAAGCACCTTGAATAAGCTGTGTTTACTAGCTATAGACACACAGCATATTCAATGTTTATTCTATATATCTTACTATATCTAATAATCACTTGTTAGGCAGTATTGACACATTGTCCTACATTTGCGGTTCATTCTTGTTTTCCACCTCTGGAAGTGTTAAGGTGTAAACAAGAAGGCACCATGGAAGAAAGCCTCATTTATTGGCTGCTTTAAAATAATCACAAATTTCCCAATTTACAGTTTGTAGGATGAAACGTTTGACCTATGATGTGCTCTGATTTTCAAACATAACATAATTCATTGTGCAATACTTGAATATGGGGGCATTTAGTTTGATGTGTAAATTGAATTTACATTCATATATCTCAAGGAAGTTAGGCCTTAAAACTATCTCAGGAGCTGGATAGTATCTTGTGTTGTGACATGTCCGTCTAACCGACATCCAAAATGACATACAGACTCAGAGAAGGACCATCTGAGCAAGTCCTCGCCTTCACCCGATCCCCCGCTCTGTCCCCAAATACATATTACACTTACATATCCAGCCTTCCTGAAGCCTGTCTGTCTTGTTCTCCCTCCATAGAGCCTCCTGTAGTCTGGGAGGTGGTGTCACTGTCGTAGACGCCGTTCACTTCCTCTTCTGTGATTATATCAAAAGCTCCATCATCAGCTCTGGGCATGGGGTCTGAAACTGGGAGGTCAATCATGAATGAATTGAGGTACTGGATTGTTGCGACAACATCTGTTACCTTGTTGTAGCCTCTTGATAAAATCCATTTAAAATCATATTGTATGTACTAAACACACACAAAAAAAATGTCTGTACAACAGAAGCAAACAACACCTTGTTTCAATAGAAATGTCCTCTACTGCTCTTTTGCCAAATTTTCAGACAATAGTTTCTGTCCTTGTTCCTCAATTGTATAAAGTCAGTCTTTTCACTTCTGCTTCCCAGTATATTGACAGTAAATGTACCTAGCATGTGTTTTTGTTCATTGCTTGGCTCTCACCTGTTACCCTTGGTATGGGTTTATATGGAGCAGGTTCAGGAGGGGGCTGAGGCCCAGCTCCTGGTGGTGGAGGCTCACTTTCTGAGAGACTCAGCTCTGCCTCTGTGAACCTCTCCACCACAGCGCTGTGCTGCGTGTAACAGTCCTTGCAGCAGCGCTCCTTCTTCCCACTGTGCTTGGTCATTGCAAAGTTGTTGCTGCAGTAGTAGCAGAAGATGCGACCACAAAGCCTAAAAATGATGCAGAAAAGAACAAGCAGGGTTACATCCACTCAAGTTTTGATTCTTCAAATATCATTTCTACTATTCTTGTAGTTTTAGATTGCCCTAAAAGGATTCTTTATCAATTCTGAAAATCACCTGCAGTGATGTCTGCGGAGCCACCAGGTGAACTGACCGTGACAGCTGAGGCAGTGCGTGCTCTCCTTATCTGACCACCAGCGCTCCTCTGCTCGAAGTTTCTGTTCAAACTCCAGAGCATCTGACTTCTGCCACAGAGCATCTTTATCCCTGAAAAAAAAAGACAAGTGCACAAAGTGTTAATGCCTGTTGATGCTTCCTTAACAAAACTAGACTTAAACTTTATCTGTGTTTTCATTCTAATTTTTCCCATTGAATAAACTTTGGGGACCCATACATGAAGACTGTAATTCAATGCTAACAAGCTGTCTAAATTGAACACACAACGTAGCTTAACTTCCCCAAAACATGAAATTGAGAAGAACAATAAAGCATGAAATATAAACAAGTAGACAGAAATCATGTGGGCATATCCCTAAGGAGTTCCTGGATCCTCAGTCAAACCTTTGTTCTCTCTAAAATGTCTTAGCTTTCAAAGAATTACAATGTTTTTCAATGTTATGTTTGGCAGCAACCAAACATAACAAGGGTTAGACATTCTCAGAGACAACTTCTCCTTAATATGAAGAAACTATGTCTGTTGCAAAAGACAACATTGCACCACTGACCGCTGCAATAGAGACAAGTCATACCTTATGAGCTCAATGAGCCGTTCCTCGAGGTTAGTCTTGGTTCTGTTAAGGTCATCGACCTCTGCAGTCAGTTTGAGGCACTCGGTTTGTTTGGCAGCTTCTGTTGTGTTGAGTCTCTGCTTCAAATCCTCGGAGACCTTCAGCACAGCCGAGTGTGCTTCTTCAGCCCTGGGGAGTAAAGAAATATAACTCAGAGGCGGTTTTGTTACAATGGAAGATTGAAAGCAAGGATAACTGGTCATAATGGTACCTGGTTACGGCATTTCTTAGCTGCTGAATCTCACTCTCACTGTCACGAATGGTTGTTTCATTGTTTGTGATGTGAGCATCTTTCTCGCCACTCAGACGCAAGTACTGCTCATTCACAGCCTTTATTTAAATAAAAAAGTAAAGTCAGGAACACACATTTAGTGGATGGATAAATTACAATCAACACATTTCATGGACCAAAAATAAATCTTTCTAACGAGGCATGTTGGGGTAAAGGACATTCAAATACATTCTGCATCGCTCTAAATCAGGTCTGTTCATACAGATCTATAAAAAAAAAAGGGAACCATATAGAGAAAAACATGATCTCATAAGACATTCACTGACCTACCTGTTGTGTTAGGTTAGTTTACTGTACTGATTTTGCATTCGCACCCTCTCTACCTTCAGCCATCAAAGACATCTGCTTATGCAACCGCAGTGTCTCATTATTAAAAACCTGAAATAAATGTTCTCTCATGTTATCTTCTAACGTTGAGCACTGCATAAATATTCTGTATGCCCTATGTGGTGTTTTACTTTCCTTTTCTCCATCACTTCTGTAAATCAGGTAATGATACAGCTGTGACTGTCCAGGTTCCAGGTTATGAATAGATGCTGCACTTTTAACCTGCCTATCTACAGATTCTCTTGCAGTCCAAAGCTTTCCCCACTTAAAGTGTTAAAGAGTACAACATATTTTTTCCTAATGATGGGTGTAAACGTATGTATGTAAAGCTACTTCTCTGTAAAGGAATGAAAAGTTGCACTTCCTGCCACCTGTTTAGTATCTCGTTATTACCGGAATATAAATCACTGCATCTTAAAGACACTGACCTCTAGTTCAGACACTTTGGCCTGCAAGCTGGACACGTTCTTCCCCTCCTTGTGCAGCTGGGCTTTGACCTTCTCCAACTGCTCATTCAAACTCTGAAATGTAAAAAGAGACACAAGGAAAATAAAGAGAGGCCTGCTTTGAAAAAAAGCCTATAAGCATTTATATGGCGCAAAATGAGATCCCAAATGGCAATGCTGAGTAAAACACACTTCCAGTTAGAACAACTTTTGAAAAGTCAAACACATATGCCCCGTTTCCACCATGCAGTCCGATTTGGTTTTGTACAATTCGGTACGGTAAACCCTGAACTTCCACAGCCAACCGTACCCTTATTTGGTAAGCGGAGTGTAAGCCAGATGGAGATAGCTGCATCAGCTATGTAATAGTGTGATATCATAAAAGCCCAACATAGTGTAGCCCGCTATTAATTAATTTCAACGAAGAATATGAACAGGACACAGTAAGCAAGAGAGCCTTAAGGTCGGATTGATACCCTTGGCACCCTAACAAAAAGGTACCAAAAAAGCAGGACAGTACGGATCAGTTATTTTGGTACCATTCCCAACTTTTGACGGTGGAAACGCAAATAAACGGGTACCATACCAAACCAAACTCAACTGAGCCGCTTGATGAAAACGGGGCTTTAGGTGCATGACTCCAAATGCTGGGGTAAAACGTTTGACAAAAGTAATTGCTGAAACTTTTTTTGACATAAATTAATTTGATTTATTTAAATGCCCAATTCTTATGTTATTTATAATGATGTTAATCATTTGATTGCCTCTATATGACAGCTTTAGACTTAAAAAGAAAACATTGAAGACAGAAAAACTACTTCACCTGTTCGAACATTAGTGAATACACTCTTACAATCATAATGCTAATACACAGAGATCTAACAGGCTTCATGTTTATCATGCTCACTGTTTTAGTGTAAGGTGTTCAGCATGCTAATATCTGTTAATCAACACTTAACACACCATTTATAAGTGATAGTCATGACCTCTGTATTTGATCATAAACCAGAGTGTTGGATTTAAAATAAGTATGACTGAATGATAACTACAGATTTAAAGTCAGGGATTGACTAAATTCCTTCTAAGGGATTCTTCCTTCACTCAGAAAGAGATACATCTGTGCACTCAACCAGATATGAATAAAAAAGTTTATTCCATGTGTTAAAGAGCCATGCAAACTAAAACTATAGTCCAAAGTTATCACTACAGCAAAACTGACTCCCTCATGATGAACATGTTTTGACTCGCTCACCTTCATCTGGACCTGATAATTCATGCTCTCAGAGCTCAACTGGAACTTGATGGCACCCGCCTCCTCTCGGCTAGAGTCCTTCACACTCTGCAATTGTTTCTGGGCTTTTTCCAGCTGCTCCCGGAGCTCCACTATTGCGTCTGGAAGTTTCTCCTTCTGCATCAGCTCCTCTCTAAGTTTGTTATTCTCAAGACGTAGTTCTGACATGCTCTCTCCCAGCCGCTCCACTTCTTCTTCCAACTCTTCAATCTTGGCGGCATCCCCCACCAAATACTCTCTGGCCTCCTCTTTTTCTGCACTTAGCTTACAGATGGTGATCCCCAGCTCGGCCATTTCTGTGTTCGCCCTGTGCAGACCCTCTCGTGTCTCGTTGTTGTCTGAGACTAACTTGTCATTTTCTGCCTTTAGGGTCGACAGCTGTTCTCTGAGGGCCGCAGAAGAGATAACCAACTCGGCATGGGCGGCTACTTCTCGATCACGCTGCTCGATCAGCGACGCTTCTGTCTTTTTGCACTCCATGAGCTCCATTATATGCCTCTGATTGAGAGCCTCTGTCTGGGCTTTAAGTTGCTCAGTCAGAGTCCTGAGTTCATCTCTTTGGGCCTCTGTCACCTCCAATTGTGTTCTTGATTTGAGCTTTTCCTCCTCACATCTCTGTGTCTGCACCCTGAGGTCAAGCATCTCTCCCTGAAGCCTTGCTACATCTTTCATGCTCACTTCCAACTGGCTCTCAACCTTAGCCAGTTTTTTGCTTACTCCCTTGTTCTCCTTTACTTGGATTGCACTCCTCTCCAGCTGAGATCTCTCCATTACCTGCTTCTCAGAGGTGACCCTTTCAATAACTTCTGTCTGTTTTACCAAAATTGCTTCTATATCAGCTTTGGCAATCTCCACCTCCTTCTCCCTGGCCTCAACAGCTTTTAACCTGGACTGCAGCTCAACACAGTGCTTCTCTTTACTCTGTAGCTGTGCCTCTTTGGCTTGAAGCTGCTCTTGAAGGCTTGCTTCATTCTTGCGCGACACTCCTAAGTTCTGCTCCAAATCTCCAATTTGCCCATGGACACTCTTCAGGTCAGCTTGCATGCGGCTAAGAGCTGCCTTCACCTTGTCCTGCTCCTCTCTCAGACTCTGGTTCTCCTGCTCCAGCCGTTTCGATGTGTCCTCTGAGAGCTTTGCGGCGATGGTTGCTCGCTGCAGATTCTCATCCAGCTTGCGGTTCTCTTCACGCAGGCGCTTCTCTTTCTCATCCACTGTCATCTTGGTATCATCAAGCTGACCCCGAAGCTGTTTCTCAGAGGCCCTAAGAGCTGCTAGTTCAGCTTCAAGCGCAGTTCTTTTTTCCACCATCTCCTTCTTCAGCTCTTCATTTCTCTTTGACGAGGCCAGTAGTTTCTCATAGAGCTCCATTAGATTGCCGCACTGGGTCTTGTAGTCTTCTATCTTCATAGCCTGTTCCTTAACATTACCCTCCAGCTCAGCAAGGTTAGAGGTCAGTTTGTCCTTCTCTGTGGTCAGGCTTTGGTTCTTGGTCTTTAGCTGTTCTAGTGTCTCGTAGCTTGAGGTTAGCTCTGCCTCTTTTATATGTACTTGCTCTTTAAGTGCACTGACTTCTGCACCTAAAGATTCCTTTAATGCATCAGCGTTCTTCTGCATTTCATCTTTATTTTGGTGTGTCCTCCTCTTCACCTCCTCAAACTCCTCCTCCTTCTGTTCCAGGGATCTTTGGAGGTCCTGCAGCTGCCTTTGGAGGTTGCTCGCCTCCTTCTCTCTCACTGTCAAGGCTCCCTGCAGCTTATCAAGTGCACTGCACTGTTCCTCCACTTTTGCCTCTAACTTTGCCTTCTCCTCGGACACAGAGGTAACCAACGCTCCAAGTTTTGTTTCACCAGTCTTTGCAGCTTCTTCCTTGACTCTCAGCTCATCCTCTAGCCTCTCTGTCTGTCTCTTATTCTCCTCTACCTTAGCTACAGCTTCCATCTTCCCTTTCTCTGCCTCTTTTAATCTGTCCAGCAGCTCGTGTATCTTCTGTGCTGAATCAAAGTGACTGGCTGCCTGCTGGCCCTTCTCATTCAGAACCCCATCCAACTTGGCCAGGAGCTCTAGGTTCTTCCCTTCAGCAGCTGCCAGCTTTTCCTGAAGCATTTGTTGTTCAGCCTCTCTGTCTTTTTCCTTAGTCCTGAGTGCATCCAACTCTCTGGACAGCACCTTCTCTCTCCCCTGCAGAGCTTTGAGTTCTCCCTGCAGTCCCTGCTGCTCCTCTTGGGCAGCGAGAGACATATCCAGCTGCCTCTGGAGCTCCACAACGACCCCCCTGAGCTCAGCAGCCTCCTCACCCAACTGTTTCATCTTGTCCAGGAGCTCTCGCTGGTTCAGCTCTGACTGGTCCAGCTCCAGACGAAGGTCCTCAACTGTGCTGTCATCTTCTGCGCAAGCAGGCAGAGACTCATTCAGGTCATTCAGTAGACCCTGGCCATAGTCAGGGCTATAGGGGAACTCGGGTGCTTGCTGCATTATTGGCAAGGAAGGAAGAGGTGAGGAGAAAGAACAGAGGAAGTGTGATTGACTTCATATAACCATATTCAATTCTGATGAAATGACAGGATGCTTTGAAAGATACTCTTCAGTTACCTGGGAGTAGGTGCTAGCCAAACTGTTAATGCTTGAACTACGACTGGGTGGTTTCCACATGTGACCGGGTGAGTTTGCACTTCCAAGTGTTCGCCTGTCAATCAGAAAATAAATCAGTACACATCATAAAACTTGAACATTTTGTGAAGCACTTGTTTTAAAGTAATTTCTTGATGTTTATTTCAATATCCGACCGTAGTATAAAGGTGCTCTAAATATTGTTTGGACTTTTCTTTGAGTCTGTTACCTTGCAAAAGTAGGCCAGGAGGCATCGAGATCATAACCTCTTGAAGCCACATCAAACTGGACCTCATTGAGTTCGTACAGGTGATTGATTATGTCAACACTGAGGTGGGGCTTCAGGAAGGGGCTTCTTGCATAGTACCAGTCACTGCAGGAAAAAAATAATGGAGTGGTTAGAAAAGGAAAGAAAAAAAGGTTATATTTTATTTATACCTTCGGCACTCAAATTCGTGAGAAATGAGCTTCAGATAACTTCATCAGCTGCAAGTGTCATTACATGGGTTAAAGTGTATTCAACACATCTAGGAGCCTCCAATTCAGTCTTATGTAAGCATATCTCTGCTGGGGGGGAAACAACTTTTGTAGGCTTCTTTTTTAAGTGTTTGATCTACATTGATCTTGAGTCTTGTAACCCCACCCCCACCCCAGACACACAAACCACCACCACTTCCTTTTAGAGCTTATGCATCTCATGAGGTTCCAAGGGTTGAGCATGGGGAAAAAAAACCAACCTCTCCTACCTTGCCTCCAGGACTTGAGAAAATGTCAGCGAATTCTACATCTCATTAATTAGTCCCCTGGGAAAAATGGAAAGCTAAAAGGAAAGCCCATGTAACCTAGAAATGCATTATGATTTAATGAACATGGTTTTAGTCTTGTCTCTGTGTGTGCTTGATGTCTGCACCCTGCTGGTTTTGTTTAGTTTAACTGGTTTGCCGTCTTTGCCAAGTTAAAGGGACTTCCAAAATGAATTAAACGGCACAGGAATAAATACATCAATTAATAAATAAGATGGAATTCAAAACTCAGAAGCTGCAGGAATACCTCAATCATAAGTAAGATGACATAGCTTGGATAGAAGCAAATTGTTTATGGAACCAAATGACAGGTGTGTGCCTTTAAGAGGTACACGTACACAGCAGCACATCAGCCCTGCACTCGCCTCCCTTCACTTTTAAATTGTATTACTTGTTTTTAAGTCACTCCATGGTTTAACCTCCTCTTCTCTATCAGAACCTTAATCTTTTAAACCCCAGGACAATCATTCAAGTCCTCTGAGCAGTCTTTCCTTGTCGTCCCCTGAGCGCAGAGGAAACTCGGGGGCCACTGTGACTTTTCAGTTGTCTGTGGAATCAATTGCCCCCTCTCATCAGAGGTGCTAACTCTTAAACTGACTATTAAATCAATCCAAAGCACAGCTCAAGACACACCTTTTTTCCCTGACCTTTGGAATGAGCTAAAACAAATCCCATATTTGATTAAGAATTGTCTTTCTTTGTTGTCTATCTATTATGCCTAGTCTGTAAAACACTTTGGTCAGCTGAGGCTTGACTTTAAAGAGAAGGATTTCGTCTTATTTTATGTGCTTAACATATTTTTATCTCTGTTTTTTTAAGTCATTGAGACCCTTGTTTGTTGTTATAGTTGCTGTTTGTCTCTATTCAAATCTTTCTTTCTGTATCTCCCTCTACTCCACTTTCCAAGTCCAGTTTCATCAGACGGCTGTTCAACAAGAGTCTGGTTCTGCTCGAGGTTTCTGTCTCTTATAAGGAAAATAGTTTGCCACTGTAACTTTGCTGATTGTTTAGTGTCATGTCGTGATGGATTTATGTTGGGTCTTTGTAAATAACAGAGCAAAGAGTAAAGTCTGGACCAGCTCTTGAGATAACATTTGTTATGAAGTGAGTATCTTTATCCCTCTTAGACCATTCTTCAGATATAACTTCTACTGGCTTCATTTTCTCCAGTAGTGATCCCATCTAACATAAAGTGAAGTAAAACTATAGATGATCAACAATGAGATGCTGAAGTTCAAAACCAGAAGTAACATGTTCATCAATTTCACCACACATGTAGCCACATCCAACCTAACCTTTTATGATTTCATAATCTGTTCTAAACTCTACCAAAAAACTTTGTAAATGCGTCTGTTCTGTGAGTATTTTACCTGGTGACTCTCTGGTTCATCAGGCACTGCTGCAGGGTGTCAGCCAGTCGCTGATGTACCAGGGAGTAACGGATAAATGCTCGGCCTTTCCCCAGAGGAGTCTTCAGCTTTAAAAGGAGAAAAGACTTTTTGGTTGATTAACACTTCACACATCACAAACTACTAAGTTAATGACATTATTGAATCATTGATGATAATTCTGCTCTCAAACTCAACATATCAAACACAACATAACAACATTTGTTCAAGTGGTGAAACCAAAAATCTCAGTAGGAAGATATTTGAAGTGTACAAAACACAAATTATTCATGTCTCCTACAAGTTATGGAAGTAAAAAACAATGTGTTTTATCCACAACAAATAGAAAAGCACTTCAGAATGATGAAATCTAATAATGTGTTAAAGGGATGTAAGTCTTGGGTGGTTTTCTTCTTGTCTATTGGAAGAACTGGCTTCTAATCAGTAATATAAAAGTAATACTAATTAAATGTTATGAAGTATCTTTACTTTGATTCAGAGTAAAATGAATCACAAAACCCATTTAAGTCATAGTGAGTGTAACTGTGTATGGGATGATCTCATTATGCAAACGATCAGAATGTAAGCAGTTCTTTAAAAATGTTTTTGATTTTTTGTTTAGTTTATTTGAATCAGGGACAGTGTACAAAAAAAACCATTAGTCTCAGAAGAGAAGAGATGCTTTGTACCAGATTTAGCTAACTAGCTAATTTCCATCTATTGTCCCTGGGCAGATGATGGCAAGAGTAAAATACAAATCAACCAGCAATGAACACACGCACACCCACACATGCTCATACTCAATTCATAAGAGAAAAGAAAGACATAGAACAATATACAGATATTAAAACATTATGTACAAGATTCCCTGAGATGAAAAAGGTTGTTGAGCTGACACATTAATGCTGACAAGACTGCTTACTTAAAATCCTTTTTTTTTTTTTTTTACTTTTACTAAGTTTGTGCAAAGTTTCAGACTAGTTGGAAGATTATTCCATTCTTTAAAGGCTTTAATTGTTAAAAAAAAAAAAAGCTCACTCTCATACCTCAGAGATGGATTTTACAAAGCGGATGCCGTCATTGGCTCCTTTGACCTTAGCCAAACAGTCGCTGAAGTAATCCCAATAGTCTTTCCTCGTACCAAGAAATGTGGTTTTCTCCTTCTGGTCAAACTGGATGAAAGATAATCATATTTATAAAAGTTTTAGCCAAAAACTGTCAAACACTGACCACTTTTCACACTTGAATTTATAGTAATTAAATGAGTACAAAATAATGTTTGTGGTTTTGTTCCCCATACAGATATTCAGGAGAAGTACAAAAATGCACATTTTCCTCAATTTTAAATGAGAAAACACATTTGTCTTATCTCTATCTTATTATTACATCATCATAATCATTCACATCTTCCTAAAGTTATTGTGATTTCATGGGTTAACAGTAAGTAAAAACACACCTGCAGAAGGTACTCCAGTTTGTAGGAGAACTTGTGCAGGTTGGTACTGTCATCGGTGATTGGCTCCCCACTTTCTCTGTATTCCTTTGCTAGCTCTGCAACAGCATCTAAAATTCACATAGTACATAAACAAAGTCAAGTATGAGGGATAAATTAACACAGGGTCAGGAAAATTACAAATATATATAACAGAAAAACAACACATTTAAATGATGGCAGAAAAGACTGTTTCTTACGTAAGACTTAGTATGTAGTTATGAATATGTTTGATATGAAGTTATATTGCTGTCTTTTTTTTTTTTTTTTTACTGATGCCTACCCCTCAAATTGCTTTCCATATTTTTCCACTTTTACCTTCATCAGCTAGTTTTTAAATCGATCACTTGCCTCGTATCCACCGCAAAAACTGGAAGGAAACCTGTGATGGGTGCACCCTCAGTAAGCATTTTCTGTCTCGTTGCATGCTGACGGAGGCTTCCACCACACCCTGACTACAGGGACATGAGACCAGACGTCTTTCCAAAGGATTTGCTCAAAAGAAGAGATTGGATATTTCCATGCATGAGGATTGAACTAAGACTTTTCAGGTACTTTCATCATGGCAAACCCTCCTGGATCTTTTTTTCCTCTCTTGTTAGTCACACCATGGAAGCACAAAAACTGCCTGCAGTCTATCTATTCACACACAATTAAAGTGACCAGCACCCACACAAAGATGACGTACCATGCAGATCTCTGATAATCCTCTGGAGTTGGCTCTCCCCTGCTGAAGCCCCAGCAGCCATGGCCCCACCACTGTCTCCCAGGCAACCAGGGGTCACAGGTTCACATCCAGTCTGCTGAATAAGAGATTTAGAGCCAGTCAGGAACAAAAGTTGAATGCTGCAAAACTACTGTACTCTCTTTCCGGAACACATGGACACGTCATGCCACACCAATGCGTAACACATTAATAAAAGTTGTGCTTCTCTGCAGAAAAATGTTAAATTAAGTCTGACAGAAATAACATGATCCTTTATGAATGCAATGTGATCTGATGAAAATCCTATGCAGACAATAACAATCACACAGCAGGTAGGATATATTGCATACTGCTGGTTATGTGTCGGATATGTGAATGTGTCATTAGGCTATGAAGTAAACAAAGCCTGTGGCATGAGCTGCTTGTTGTTAGATACAAACTTACGCTTTACAGATATAAACACAAAGAAAACCAACAGTTTAATTAATGAAAACACCAAAAAACATAGTTTCACTACACTCCTACAACGTTACTGCAGCTTACTTGACAAACCACAGTCAATAACGCACAGCTGGGCAGCTCAAGACTTCACAGACGACTTGTGTATTTCTGTCCTGGTGACGACATATTCAGATCTGATCCTTTGACAAACATTTAAAAACGAACCGGAACACCATGAGACGCTGAAAAGTTTGGTCAAACATGACACATTTTGACAAAAGACTGACGCAAACATGAATGATAAAAGGAAACAAACTTCGACATACTTTTACAGATATGACTCAAGCGCATAACAATCCAGGACGTTTGAGTGTGCATCCAAACTTGTTGAGTTTTTTCTGATTGACGTCGTGTCCTTCACTTACAACGCGCAGTGTAGCCCTCGGACCAATGAGAGCGAGGTCTGTAGGCGGGACTCTGACGCACCATGTTTAGTTGTCGTGGCAGAGTAAACAGAGCTGTCATGTGATCAGTGTTATTCAGAAACATGTTGTCCCGGTTGTCCGACTCTTCTCACGGCCTTTGACGGCAGGACAGACGTAATCGTTTCCGGGTAGTGTATTACAAAATTCAGTTTATAGGGAATGTCTTTAATTCTCAGATCAGGTTAGACAATTAGTTGGCGTGCACATCTACATGAATTCAAGCGCCATTTAACCATTTATTTAGTAAAAGCACATGGTGAGTGGGACAGATGGATAGATTGATGATTGGAGAGATGATTTTCTGTACAGAAAAATATAAATGAATCAATGCAAGGAAGGGGTGGACATGACTGCGCCTGAATATAACCTACAAACTCCTTCATCATATTCTGCCATGACACTGATCGACTCCACACACTGCTGTCTCCGAAGCTTTCGGCTTGAGATATTTCAACCTAGTGGTATGAAGTGCCTCTTGTGCTTTAAATCTTTGAAATATGTTTAAATTGATTGGAAAGTGTTCCACCATTCAATAAGTTTGTTTGAAATTGTATGATATTCAGTTTGTGATTTGTATAGAATACTTCAGACATATTTAGTTCATTGATATTGTTATGATAAGGCGTTAGGAGGATTCACTTCAGTGTCTTTAGCGGTAGGTGTGGTTGGTAGGAGGAGAAGCAGGGTTAGTACTGATGTCACACCTGAGGGGGGCGGGTGGCGGCTCTGTCTCTGTAACCTTCATTAGCAGGACCTGCGGAGGAGCCGGCTGAAATTGGTTTTGAGTGGAAGAGGGAGGGAGGGAGACGTGAGGACGCAAGACACCTGAGAGACTGAATCTGAAGTAACGTTTGTTTTTGTGTCAACACTTCACGGGTTCTTTTTACACATGAACTAAACTGATATGAAAGAAAGGGCTGGCTGAGGAGATCGTACTCCAAGTGACTCTGTGGATCGAGTTGTCTGAGTGTGCTGGTGGTGGCACATAGAAGGGTCTTGGCGGTCAGTCACCTACACGCACCCCTCAAACAGACAGGACAGTTGCAAACACTTTCAGGAAAGGCAGGATACACCTTCACGTTTACGCAACACGAAAGGAGAGGCATTAAGTTACGGGCTCACTGGCCTTAGAGTCAGAGGCTCAAGGATAGCATTTAGCTGTGGGTTTGTGTAGCGGCATAACCATATAATCAAATAAAAAATGTCCAGTCCTTGCCTGTGACGATACAATAAAAACACACTTAAATTTTATTGGTTTCATTTCTTTGAGGGACATTAATTTCCCACCCACATTTATATTGGTATTTATATTACAATTTTATGTTTGGTTTTATGATGTGAAGTTGCCAAGTAATCTGGCACAAGTTGCCCATTATTTTAAAACACATTATGATACCTGCTAAGTCACAAGTGTCCACCTAACAATATTTTGGAAAAAAGCCTGCCTTCAGGCCTGTAATTTCCTCGACTCTATCCAACATGCCCGACCTGATACAGAGAACAAAGAAAACCTAAATGTTCCCGTCGCATTTACCTTTTGTTTAGAGTCAAGTACTCATGAAGTTGATGCATTAATGATGTAAAATCATCCACTATGTCTAAAAGAAGAAAAAAACCTTTGAAACTCGTCTGCATTGGAACATGTGATTAAACGTTAACTCAACATATGATGTTCCATGGAATGGCAGCAATTAAATCTTAGTTTTTTCATGGTATTTCAAGCCGAAGTGTACATTAATGTTGCAAATTGATACAAGTTATTTTCGGCCTGAAAATAATCAGCAGACAGGAAGACTACAACGAGAGAGAATGCCTCCCAGGTATTTGCAGGATTACCAAACTGAGCTTTATGGCCAGCAACCCAAACATTTAAGACAGTGTTCAGATCATGTTACAGAGATGTACAAAAGAAATAGCACATTTAAAGGATATGATTTAAGTCTTAAATAAAAGAGTTGATCATTATTAACATGGCTACTCAGAGGGAGATTCAGAGGAGCAGTGTGACTCCCAATAAGCCCTGCAATCTCCATGTGAACAAAATGAAGCACATACTGACTGTCACAGAACCTCAGTGTGAAAAGTCCCAATCTGAACCTAACCTAAATGAATCATTACCCATCTTGAAACCTGGAAAATGTTCCCAATCTGCTCAAACCCTTTTCCCATATAAGCCTTCTGCTGTTCAATGTGAGCATAAAATACCTGCTTCAGTTTCCCATGCGAGATATGAACACCACCTCCATCAAGTCAATTTACTTCATCCTCATCAACTCACATGCCACCACACCCATCATATCCCAATGCTATACCTCAAAGTTCAGGCAAACCAGTTTCAAGGCATCGCCCCTTCATACCCACAAGATCTGTTCAGTCAGCCACAGTCCATCCTTCCAGCATGCCTGCAATTCATCCTCCTTAAACCTTACATATACCAATTTCTATGCAAATGCCACCAGCCTCTTCTTTACATTTACACCCCAGCAGGCCCCTCACAGTCAGTTACCATCAGCTCAGGGGCCTCTACTCCCATCATATGTCATTCAACTTGCTCCTATGCCCCTACCTCAAGGTTCATCAATCAGTTCCCAGCATTATACCCAGCATGTTGTGCATCAGCCAGCTCCTACCATGCTGACTGTCTACATTCAACAGGAGTTCTCCTTAACCTCAGTGTTTCTATGTCAGTGGCTCCTGTACAGCAGACAAGATACACATTACGGGTTGAACACCTGAACTGTACAATTTCATATCCTTTTGGATCTCCCCTCAGCTCACCATATTGCACTTTCATTTGCCCATGACCCACAGCAATGGACTGACAGAGAAGGAGAATGTCAGGCAGTGGTAGCTCAAGCCTGCAACTTACAAATTGACGTACTGCAGAATCAAAGATTCAAGTATCACCCTGCTACCATGCCCTTTAGTGCTGACTAGAGGTCTTAATATGGACCAACTACACCAGGACATCAGCCACAACCCCCATTTATACTCATGTTCATACTGCCAGTCTACCTCCCACTGCCTGACAAACTGTGAAAGCTTAAATGAACTATAAGCAAAGATAAAGTGACAAAATGGCTGAAGGAAGAAAACGTATTGGAATGAGTCAGAACACATAAAGCCTCCAACTGTACTTTGAAGAAACCTTGCCCCAAATGTAATGTCTGCAACTTGACATATTTTATGATGTAAATAGGAACAAGTTAGCATCGAGTGTTGTACATAAACCTGCAAAGTACAACATCTAAAATATTACTGAAAGTAGTTAAAGTCAAACTTAACCACAAGAACAGGACATTTGATATATGCCATATTAGATTACAAGCAGCGAAGTATCTTTGTCTATGGGGTAGCGAGAAAACTTTCAGCTGCCATTTGTGTTTTTTACCACTACCATAACAGAAAAGGAACAGAAAACACTGTCACGAGTTGGCTGTATTTCTGGTCCTTTCTCTTTTGAGTGAACAGAGGGTGTCCCATCAGACAACATATCTCCCATTGTGCAGGAGGTAAGCCATATTTTTGCTTTATAATATCATTATACATCATATTTGTGTTTGATTTGACATATGGAAACAATATTATTGTTTAACTGTGTTGAAGCTAAAAAACAACATCATTATTTTCTTTTTTAGGTTCTAGTGAACAGAAATGAACGAATCTCTTAATGACAGCATATATGACACTAACTATGAGGATGAAGTCTGTGAAAAAGATGAGGTGGTCAAGTTTGGATCCTTTGCCGTTCCTGTTTTTTTCTCCATCGTGATCACACTGAGCCTCACGGGAAACATCCTGGTGCTTGTCATCCTGGCTTTGTATGAAAACCTCAAGTCTCTTACCAACATTTTCATCCTAAACCTGGCCATCTCTGACCTCGTCTTCACCATCGGTCTTCCATTCTGGGCAGTTTATCACATATATGGATGGTTGTTTTCGGAGACTCTGTGCAAAATTGTGAATTTTGTTTTCTTCACTGGGTTTTACAGCAGCGTCCTCTTCCTAACCAGCATGACCGTCTACAGGTATTTGTCGGTGGTCCATCCTCTCTCTGACCTGAGGGCAAAGAGATTCAGCACACGAGTTTTTTTGTCTTTTCTTCTGTGGGTGATCAGCATTGGAGCAGCCATGCCCTATCTGCTCTACAGCTCCATAGTCTCAATCCACCACAATGGTAAACACTCCCTGGGTTGCGAATACGAAACGACCTTGTTGAGAAACATTTCTGTCACCCAACAGAATGTTTTCTTCTTGATTGCTTTTGCAGTGATAGCTTTCTGCTACATTAAGATACTGGGAAAAATCACGAAAGCCCGATCTAGCACAAGAAACCGAGCTGTTAAGTTAGTCTTCTGTATCGTTGCTGTGTTTTTCCTCGGCTGGGTGCCTTACAATGTTGTCATCTTCCTAAGGATTTTAGGTGAAAATTTGGTTAAGCCATTCGATGACTGTGAAACAAGCATCCACCTGGACTATGCATTCAACGTGTGTAGGCTCATTGCTTTCTCCCACTGCTGCCTGAACCCTGTCTTTTATGCATTTGTTGGTGTAAAGTTTAGGAATCATTTGAAGTCCATGCTGCATCGAATGTGTATTTGTAGAAGTCCAGTCGAAGAACAGCAAATTAGGATGCAAAACTTCTCACGAGGATCAATGTACTAGTTGTTGTTGAAGTATTTTATTTATTTCAATTAAGTACTGCACCATTGATTTAAAAAAAAAAAAAAATAGTCAAGGATGCATTTGGTAAAATACCTTTCCGTCAAAATAAACAAACTGCTTCATATGTTTCCATTGTAGTAAGGGACAGAGACTATTCAAATCATAATTTTGCTGTTTATTGACGTTTGTCTTTGCTGTAACTATGTCATAAATGTACACTGAACTCACAACTCAAACATTTGTTGACTTTTAATTTATTTTTATATAATAGGGACAACAATGTAATTTAACATAGTTTCAAAACAAAACATGAAACTGATGTGCTACACGGAGAGTTTATTGCAATTGATAATTTACAACTCTTGTTTCTAGTTTGACCTTTCAGTAAACAGAGAGTATAAAATAGCCTATAAAACATTCAATGACATACAATCACATTACTTGATGAGGATTAAATTAAAATACATACCACAATGTGACAATTAAAAAAATGTTTTTATCTACAAACCAATTTAAATGAGTCATTTTAGGAGCAACAATTTAAGAATGGGTACAGCCTGGTAAGTTTCATGATTTTTTGTAAACATACATTAAGAAATGTAAATAATCTTTTAAACAACAGAAACCACAATAAATGATTTTGCATTAAGGTATTCCCTATAGGTTAATCCTGTATATCATAAATCATCACATAGGGTATACTACATATCTTTTTTTAATCATTATTTTGTCTTGGAATCAATTTGTAGGCCTAACTTTGTTTTAAAAGATCATGCATGTAGAAAAAGATCATCAACTTTACTTATATTATCGTTACTCTAATAAGAAATTTAAGATTCTATTTCAGTGTTTTTTTTTATTTGATAATTCCAATTCATATTCTCAAACATTAGTTGTCTATAGCCTACATACAGTAGAGGCTTTAAGTGTGTAAAAATGAAAATTAACAGAAATTAACTGAAGGTCACATAGGGCTAATAAATGCAGATCATTCAACACTCGTCATAGGCTACAGTCTGGACACAACTTTTACTGTTGTCAGATTGAGCACTGCTTACATTCATCTTTGAAGTGTCATTCTTGCCAAACATAAATTCCTACATGTTGCCAACATTAGCATTTAGCAATATTTATTTTGGAAGTTTACTGTAGCCTTCTGCTCACAGACTGTAAATATTACAGTTTTGCTACAAGACGAGCTACTACACACACCAAAAATTAACCGGTTGATGTCTCAATTAAGTAGACGAGAGGATGGTAGTTTTAACAACATAGTATTTATTTAAGAATGTAACACAGCGTTAAACAAGTTAAAATGAATGACCAATACAGGCAACACAGCAGCTTTATATATATATATATACGCTGTTCACTAGACAAGTCACACATACATTACTGTGGCAGTTTGCAGGGATGACTGATGAATCACTTGATCCCCATAGCAACAAGGTACGCAGGGAAAAATCACTGCTCCTAATCACACTCAAGATCCAACTTACACATTTAACAACACTCCCTAAAAATCACTAACTTCACCTGCTCACGCAGCAAATAATGCATGCATAACACTACAAATTAATAAAGACAGCAAAAGGGATCAAGGCTTTCAGAGTTACTATGAATTCATGAATTGCACTTCGCCCACAAAGTCTATTGCCCGCGGCCCGTCAAAGTATCTAATTTGAAACTACTTCTAAAAATAAACAATTAAGTAAATATGAAAGTGGGGAAAAACAGTGACAGTTTTTAGTTAATTCCAAGTCCTAGAGAAATAAACAAGACTTTAAATCAATATCAAAAACATATTAATTACATTTCTTAAAAAAGTGTCAACCCAAAATAGCATACCTTTAATTCATCAACTTAGCACCCGGACCAGCAGTGTGCTTTTAATGTTGTGATGAGCCATACTAAAAAACATATATAAGAAAATAATTACACAGTGTCACATAATTTGATACATTCATTTTGCACAATAATAATCTGCAAGTTTACTCCCGTTTTTGATTAAGCGCGATAATGAAATACAAACTAATTATTAAAGCCCAACAGAGATGATTTCATTCATAGAACAAAATGAGGACTCTCATGTTAAAACAATGAGTCACTGCAGAGTCCAGTCGTCCTCCTACTTGTTGTAATCCGCGATCTACAAGAGCGAATACATTCAACTTTAGCACGGTTCTTGCATGTGCTTTCATACTGTGTGGATAATTACGTTTTAAGCTCAATAGATCACTTACTGCCAGCAATTGTTTGTAATCAGTTCGCCTCACGCTGCACTTCCTTGTTCTACACACAGGTTAGAGAGGGCGGGCGCTTGATTACGTCACCATTATATAGCCTCTCCCGGGGACCGACAAGCAACCACATTACCCAAGTTTGCTGTGTTTTCACTCCAACTCTAAAAATACAGTGCATCTTATTCACGGTTGCTTATCCTGGTATTTGACTTCTTATTATAGGCTACTGGATTCGAAGGTAAGAGAAAACATTCATTAATCACTTCGCTTATTAAGTTGTTTTTATGTTTAATTGTTGGACACTGAGTCTTTAAATGAAATGATCCCTATTTTCCATGAGAAATTCATCCAATTCATTTCATATTTTCAGTGAATTTTCAAGGGGCACTCATTGGCTCTATATTCTCCAGAAAACTGCATATTGAAATAATCACTATAAAGTTAAGACCTTTACTGGGATTGTAGCCTTGTCGTTGTCCTCCTGCACTGTTTATGTGTTAGTATGTTGAAATCCCTGAACACACGCAAAGCTGTAACATTCAACTGAATTACTCTGTCATAGCCAATGAGCACAAAGAAGCATAGACTTGATCAAATGTTTCAAATGAGACAGTGCCACAGCTGAATATTACTGACATCTTTTACTGACTTTTACAGATGTGGTTGTGGATTTTAACTGGCCTTAACTTCATCATGAACGTTGATGGTTATGCAAGTGGAGCCATCCCAGCAGTATGTGAATCGATGGTGCCTAACCATAGGACCTTTAAGCCTAAGGAAACGACCCCCCTTTTAATATTTATTACCAAGGGGGCAATGGAACTTTTATAGGTATAGAGACTATTGGATTTTGTATCACAATCAATGTGCAGTGGTCATGCTCTAATTGCAAAATGTATTAATACCACTGACTTCATTTTCTGTCCCTCCACCTTCGCCCTGTTGCTCTTCAAACCATTCTCCAGTTTCTCTCCAGGGCAACAACTCCAATGCGTTTTTAGGATTTATGTTGGCGGCTCTAGATGATGGAGGCAATCATGTAGGACATTTTATTCCAATTGATTTGAAAGTTACTCGACTCCTGAAATGCGGTGGTTTAGAAGTAAGTAACCCTCCCATTACATTATTGTTCAAGGTAAACTTGTGAGTTTATGAATAGATAAACTGAATATTCATACGTTCTGCATTTATTGTAAATAGACAAATGGGGGTTATGAAATAAATGAATACTGATATCTCTTTATGACCTACCAAAGCAAAGCAGACCATCAGCATTACCATGAACTACTCTAATAGATATTTTTAATCTCTGAAACTGCTGCTGTGGGTAAGGTGTCATACAAAGTCATTAACAGCATGCTTGAGTTTGTATTCCTTTTTCCACGGCATTCACAAGATTCACAATGAGTGATGCATTTGACTGTTTAAGAAATCCGGATGAGATCATTTGTCAGTAAAACAATACTTCAACATGTACAGGACGAAATCAGCAAAAAGACATGCTGCTCTGTCTACAGGGCCCCCAAAATCAACACAAACACACATTTTCTCACAAGCGCTGTATTTGACGGCAGTTTCAATTCTTGAGGAAGTGATGAGTCATTTACTTCTGTTTTTCTCCTCAGGCCTCAGCTGTCTCTCACACAAACAATCAGGTTAAGAGGTCATTCAGAGTTAAGTGGACAGCGCCGGAAACATGGCAAAGCACAGATATCACTTTCAGGTATTTGTACACAGTGACTATTCTTAAAAAGAAAAGCCTGACTGGTTTGGTCACATTAAAAGCTTAATTATTGTCGTTAGCATCTGTATGTGTGTGTTTTATGTTTCAGAGCAACAGTTATTCAGTCATTTGGAACATTCTGGGTGAATGTGAATTCAACTCTGAAAGCCACAACAACAACAACAACTATTCTTACAGCTACGGAGCCAATCTCTCAAACAAGCACTATTCCTAAAACTACTGAGCCAATCCCTGAAACAACCACTATTCCTAAAACTACTACTGAGCTACTCAGTGCAATTCCTACAACTTTTAAGCCTACAGCAAGTACTACAAGGCCTACTCCGGAGCCATGTCATACTATCAAATGCAAAAAGGTATAATGTAAGATGGGACACACTTTTTTTTACGACTTTGCAGATGTATGTGTATGAATATATAATATGGAACTCTTTTATTTATTGAACTTCTCATTGCCTCTCTTGTTTCTCTTCAGCCAGTCACTGTGCTCATGGTAATCAACAGTCTTTTGGTGGTCATGAAAATGGTATGATTGATATACTTGCGTTGTTGACGCTGTAACCAAATGCATGGTGATGATAAGAGTTATACAACAAGGTTTCTATCTCTCTAACTCTATCCTCTCATCAGGAAATGTCAAATATCATCACAACCACTGTCAGCAACAGCATCTTATCTCGTCGTCTAAACAGGGTAAGGCTTAAGTTAGAGTTGTAGCTCTACTTTTCTGTGAATTCCTCATGCATGGGTAGTCAAATGAGTCTGGTTCTTAACTGGCATATTGTGTGACTAAAAAGTAAGCTTCTGTTTATTGAGATCATTTCAGAAGTGAGACCATTTTGATTTTGCAGATAATAAAACAAGATTAAATAGTTCCTAAAAAAAGGGTTATTTTTAAATTGGTTAGGTGACATTGTGTTTACAGTAGATTTGACCTAGTGAGTGGCGGTCATTTTTGTTGCACCTTTTGTTATATTTTTTCATTTATCACAAGTGCATAAGCATATAACCTTTTTTAGGGACCAGCATACAATCCACAAAAGATAGAAATGGTATGTGTAGCCTCAGCTAGCATCCTCGGTTTAAGTGACTTTTTATTTAAAAATCTGCCAAAAGATAAATACAATCTATTCAGGTTTTTAAAGATAACTGAATTTTCTTTTTCTCTTATTGTAGATGTCGAATATCATTTTCTGTATGCTTTGTGAGGCGGTGGAAATATCCTCAATGGTCTTGTTAATTGTGTGCG